TTAACCGCTTTGGAAAAATGTGAATTTTTCGACTTTTTGATCTTCTTGTTTTTATAGCCTTGAAAGGCGTTTTTTCGTTCTAGAACATCGTAAAAGAACTTCTCCTGGCCTATATTGCCTAAAAAAAAAAATTTGGAAAAATGGCCATTTTTGGACCAAAACCATGAGTTAACCCTTTTGAAAAAATTTCAATTTTTTAACTTTTTGATCTTTTTGTTTTTATAGCCTAGAAAGGCATTTTTTCGTGTTGGAATATCGTAAAAGACATTTTCCTGGCCTTTATTACCTAAAAAAAAAGTTGGAAAAATGGCCATTTTTGGACAAAAACCTTGGGAAAAATGTCAATGTTTCAACGTTTTGAACTTCTCTTTTTTTTTAGCCTTGGAAGGCGTTTTATCGTTCTAGAATATCGTTAAAGACATTTTCCTGGCCGATATTGCCTAAAAAAAAGTTGGTAATATGGCCATTTTTGGACCAGAACCATGGGTTATCCCGTTGGGAAAAATGTCAACTTTCGACTTTTTAAACTTCTCGTTTTTATAGCCTAGAAAGGCATTTTTTGGTTTTAGAATATCGCAAAATACATTTTCTTGGCCTATATTACCTTAAAAAAAAATTTGGAACAATGGCCATTTTTGGACCAGAACCAGGGGTTAACCCCTCTGGAAAAATGTGAATTTTTTGACTTTTTGAACTTCTTGTTTTTAAAGCCTAGAGAAGCGTTTTTTCTTACTAGAATAACGTAAAAAAAAACATTTTCCTGGCCTATTTTGCTTAAAAAAAAGTTAGAAATATGCCGGTTTTTGTACCAGAACCATGGGTTAACCCCTTTTTTGACTTTTTGAACTTCTTTGTTTTATAGCCTAAAAAGGCGTTTTTTCCTTCTAGAATATCGTAAAAGACATGTTCGTGGCCTATATTGCCTAAAAAAAATAAAGTTAGAAATGTGACCATTATTGGACCAAAACCGTGAGTTAACCCCTTTGGAGAAATGTGAATTTTTGGACTTTTTAAACTTCCTTTTTTCATAGCCTAGAGAAGCGTTTTTTCCTTCTAGAATATCGTAAAAGACATTTTCCTGGCCTATATTGCCTAAGGAAAAAAAGTTGGAAAAATGGCCATGTTTGGACCAAAACGATGGGTTAACCCCTTTGAAAAAATGTGAATTTTTCGACTTCTTTAACTTCTTGTCTTTATAGTCTAGAAAGTCGTTTTTTCGTTCTAGAATATCGCAAAAGACATTTTTCTGCCCTATATTGCCTAAGGAAAAAAAGTTTGAAAAATGGCCATGTTTGGACCAAAACGATGGGTTAACCCCTTTGGAAAAATGTCAATTTTTCGACTTTTTGAACTTCTCGTTTTTGTAGCATAGAAAGAAGTTTTTTTGTTGTATAATATCGTAAAACACATTTTTCTGGCCTATATTGCCTAAAAATAAAAGTGGAAAACTGGCCATTCTTGGACCAAAACCATGCGTTAACCCCTTTGGAAAAATGTCAATTTTTCGTCTTTTTGATCTTCTTTTTTTTATAGGCTAGAAAGGCGTTTTTTCGTTCTAGAATATCTCAAAAGACATTTTCTTGGCCTGTATTGACCGAAAAATAACAGTTGGAAAAAAGGCGATTTTTGGACCAAAACCATGGGTTATCCCCTTGGGGAAAATGTCATTCTTTCGAGTTTTTGAACTTCTTGGTTTTATATCCTAGAAAGGCGTTTTTTCGTTTTAGAATATCGTAAAAGAGATTTTCCTGGCCTATATTGCCTCAAAAAAAAAATTTGGAAAAATGGCAATTTTTGGACGAGAACCATGGGTTAACCCCTTTGGAAAAATGTGAGTTTTTCGACTTTTTGAACTTCGTGTTTTTAAAGCCTAGAGAGGCGTTTTTTCTTCCTAGAATATCGTACAAAAACATTTTTCTGGCCTACTTTTCTTTAAAAAAAAAGTTCGAAAGATGCCGATTTTAATACCAAAACGATGGGTTAACCCCTTTGGAAAAATGTGAGTTTTTCGACTTTTTAAACTTCATGTTTTTAAAGCCTAGAGAGGCGTTTTTTCTTCCTAGAATATCGTACAAAAACATTTTCCTGGGCTACTTTTCTTTAAAAAAAAAGTTCGAAAGATGCCGATTTTAATACCAAAACGATGGGTTAACCCCTTTGGAAAAATGTCAATTTTTCGACTTTTTGAACTTCTTGTTTTTGTAGCCTAGAAAGTCGTTTTTTTGTTGTAGAATATCTTAAAAGACATTTTCCTGGCCTATATTGTCTAAAACAAAATATGAAAAATGGCCATTTTTGGACCAAAACCATGGGTTGTCCCCGTTGGAAAAATGTCAATTTTTCGACTTTTTGATCTTCTTGTTTTTATAGCCTAGAAAGGCGTTTTTTTGTTCTAGAATATTGTAAAAGACATTTTCCTGGTCTATATTGTCTAAAAAAAAAATATGAAAAATGGCCATTTTTGGACCAAAACCATGGGTTATCCCCGTTGGAAAAATGTCAATTTTTCGACTTCTTGAACTTCTTGTCTTTATAGCCTAGAAAGTCGTTTTTTCGTTCTAGAATATCGTAAAAGACATTTTCCTGGCCTATATTGCCTAAAAAAAAAAGTTGGAAAAATGGCCATTTTTGGACCAGAACCATAGGTTAACCCCTTTGGAGAAATGTCAATTTTTCGACTTTTTGAACTTCTTGTTTTTATAGCCTAGAAAGGCGTTTTTTCTTTCTAGAACGTCGTAAAAGACATTTTCCTGCCCTATATTGCTTTCAAAAAAAGTTGGAAAAATGGCCATTTTTGGACCAAAACCAAAATCCCGATTTTTTTGGACTTTTTAAAACTTTATATTTCTGGTCCAAAAAGCATTCTGTTTTATTCAGAATATCAAAAAAGGATCTTTTCTTTTTAAGTAGAAGTAGTTCAGGAAAATGTGTTTGACGATATTCTAGAAAGGAAAAAAGCATTTGTACAATATGAAAAGAAGACGATAAAAAAGTAAAAAATAGGGATTTTTCAAAGGGATTAGTCCATAATTTTGGTCAAAAATTTGAAGTTTCTCTGTTTCTGTTTTAGTTAAAATTGACCAGAAAAATGTGTTTTTTTAGAAATTCTAGACAGGTGAAAACATTTTTTTTAGACTATTAAACAAGAAGTTAGAAAAGTCACAAATGGGGCTTTTGTTGCTCAAAAGTTTGAAATTTTTCCTGGTTTTTAACTTAGTCAAAATAGGTCAGGAAAATTTGTTTGACGATATTCTAGAAAGGAAAAAAGCATTTTTACAATATGAAAACACGAAGTTAAAGAAGTCGAAACATTGGGATTTTTCCAAAAAGTTAGTCAAGATAGGCTTGGAAAATGTGTTCAAAGATATCCTAGGAAGCAAAAAAGTCTTTCTAGACCATGAACACAGAAAGCTAGAAAAGAGGCGAAAAATTGGGATTTTTCCGTACAGCATAGTCTATCATTTTGGTGAAGAATTTGAAACTTTTCGCTCTTTTTAGTTTAGTCAAAATAGCCCAGGAAAATGTGTTTAAAGATATTCTAGAAAGGAAAAAAGCCTTTTTGGACTGTAAAAACAAGAAGTTAAAAAAGTCAAAGAATTGTCATTTTCCCAAACGGATTAGACCATGATTTTGGTCAAAAATTTGAAACTTTTCCCTGTTTTCATTTTAGTCAAGATAGGCCATGAAAATTTGTTGGAAGATATTCTAGAAAAAAAAAATAGCGTCCCGAAACTATGAAAACAGGAAGTTAAATATTAAAGTTAAGAAATAGGATTTTTCCAAAGGGGTTAGTCCATGGTTTTGGTCAAAAAATTGAAATATTTTCTTGTTTTCATTTTAGTCAAGATAGGCCAGAAAAATGTGTTTGACGATATTCTAGAGAGGAAAAAAAGCCTTTTCACACTATGAAAACAGGAAGTTAAAAAAGTTGAAAATTTTCATTTTTCCAAAGCGGTTAGTCCACGGTTTTGGTCAAAAATTTGAAATATATATATATTTAGTCAAGACGTACCAGAAAAATGTGTTTGACGATATTCTAGAAAGGAAAAAGAGCCTTTTTAGAGTGTGAAACAAAAAGTTAAAAAAGTCGTAAAACTGGATTTTTTCAAAGACGTTAGTCCATGGTTTTGGTCAAAAATGCGAAACTTTTCCCGGTTTTTATTTTAGTCAAAATAGGCCAGGAAAATGTGTTGGACGATATTCTAGAATGGATAAAGACCTTTTTAGACTATGAAAACACGAAGTTAAAGAAGTCGAAAAATTGGGATTTTTCCGAAGGGGTTAGTCCATGGTTTTGGTTAAAAAATACAACTTTTGTTATATTTTAATTTTAGGCAAAATAAGCCGTGAAAATTTGTTTTAACATTTTCTCGATAGAAAAAAAAGCCGTACTACGCAATAAAAAACATCGACTAAAAAAAGTCGGAAATGAGCATTTTTCCAAAGTGGTTTGTCCATGAATAAAATAAACAAACTCGGTCGCGATGTCTTGCACTGGCGTGGCACTGCTGATTTCCAAGCAGTCCGTAAGAGCGTCAAAGTTTGGGGACATCGTGGATAAACTCTATTGCGGCAGTTGTAGACAAATGTCTTCTAATGCAGAATAATCTAGAGAGAATAGCATGTGGTCTGCTTTTGTGTTGATTTTCAGTGTGATTGTTCACTAAACAACTAACAATACTGAGATATCTAACTTGCTAGCAATCTGTTTAGTTTGACGTTAAAATATAATTGAAGTACAAAAGAAATTGTCCGCTCCTTGACAGTATTTGTGTTGTTAGAAACACTCCCTTTCCCCAACGTTTAAGCCAAAAGTTTTTCTCCTCCGGTGGACGTTCATCGCAAAGAATACTGAAGGCAGGCTAGGGAAAGAATATAAATAAGTAATCGAGAATGATAAGAGAACGCAAGAAAAGACTGGTCTATAAAGTTTATTTTTTCCCAAGCAGTGGAGAATAAATAAATGTCACTCAAATTGGGTACGATACAAACTACTTCTCCATTTCACACTAGTATAAATTATTAAGCTGTGTATTTATATCAGACAAAACAGATGACCAACGCTTAAAGGTCAAACAAATAACTTTTTAACAAACACCATGTAAACTATTAAACTTTTCCAATCCATACTAGAGACCAATTGCTCGTCTGAGGCAGTCTTATTTAACACAACCTAATAATTTAGACGGGTTATGGGGTCAAATTCGTCTCTTACCAATGCCATAAAAAAATTCACGTAGGACAGCGTACGACGGTGATGGCAATGTCTAAACTCTCTCTCTCTGAATAAAATGCAGGTTTTCTGAAAAGCCAATTTTCAGTCCTGATCTTCTGAAATCAGGGATTTGACGGGTCATGTCGAAACCAGTCAATTCCTAAAACCTTTTAATACAAGTGTCGGAAGACAATAGCCATACTTGTAATTTAAAATTGCAAAAGCGAATGACCCTTAAGGTTATGCCTTACGACGTAAGTTAAGTCTATCCCAACGATCGTTAAAAAGATCTTTCCATTTACCTGTTTTAGACGCTGGACATTTTCCCTCAGCAATCACAGGGATGGTTGCAAAATAGAAACCAGGCTTAACTGGGATACTTCAATGATGTGTTTCTGTTTTCCGTTCTTTTAAGATCTTTACAACTAAACGAAGAATATTGTTATTATTGAAGAACAATGGTCTCTAGAATAGATTAGAACAGTCTAAGAGTGTAAACGAATGATAAGACATAAAATAAGTTACCAGAAATTTTAGCTGCCAAGAAATGTATTGGAGGCAGCATGCGAAAAACGGAAGAAACAGAGCGGTTTATTTAAATCAATGTCTTGATTAGCTGTTCATTGTAACATTGTGGAAGGACTCCGCCAATCACTCACCCAAAATGCAGAAAACTGAAGCAAAATGTAAGCTCACTCGCCAGCTTTTTTGCAGTCGCCGGCGGGGGCTTTCTGTACTTAAGTAATGATCTTATTGGTTCATTTAATGGCCTCTGCGTAATGGTAGTGGACATGGTATTGGCCAGGGACGGGTTGCTCAAAGCTGGGTCAAACTAACCCAAGGCTACTGCGATGAAAGCTTAAAAATCGAATTCACATTAATTGTTTTTCTCTACAATTTGATGATTGGATGCTCTGAAGAGAATGAAAAACGTTATTGAAGAAAATGCTTTTTAGCAAAAGAAAAAGAAACTTGGAGGATTGGAATTTAAGTCGGGGTTACTGCTAGTTAGCCTTCCAACAACTAGGCCCAGGGTATTAACGTCGGTTTGGGTATAGAAAAAACAAGGTCAAAACTTCATGTATCGGACATATATGACGTAAAACAAAAGACCTCTCTGTTTTCTGTTCAGGGAAAAATCTGCTTAGTATTGCTTCATTGTTTTTGTTCTTTCGTTTTATGTTATCTTTGTCTGGCAAACGAGGTAAATGCCAAAAAGAACCTCGTTCCAAATGTCTCTCGACATTCTCTAACTTTGAAGTTTTCCTGTAAAAGCTGAAACAAGACCTCGTAACACGAGTTCATGGTTTAAACCACATCACAACGTTTGCAAGCGAAGTCCACATCGAGGATGGAAATTTTCCTCTTTCCCCTCGAAAAAAGGGATCCCACTTCACAATGAGCCAAAGAATTTGAAAACTGCCAATGACATGACATTTCTGTAAAATACGGCAAGACGTATAATTTCTTTCTGTCCCTGAGTACTTAAATAGGCATTTTTATTATATCAAACTACACTTAATATGATGATGGAAGGTTTAAAGTGAAATGCGTGCAAATATGAAAAGAGCCATGTCCACCCGGGTAAAAATACTGACAACAACACTGTCTCTGTTCCGTTAAAACCAAACACAAACCGCAAACATTCTGATGCTTAAGGCTGAATGAGCTCTCTCCTCATCTTTTCTTGACTACGACAAGGAATCTGACCAAGTTATACATCGGGTTCAACCATTGAAAAAAACACCAAGCAAGCAAGAAGCGTGTGTTCTTCAGCATTATCACGGCATACGCTGTCGAATAGCCATCCTTTTTAGTTGTACACATCGTAAAAAGTTTCTAACTTGAACACATCTTATCTTGAAAGGGAATTATTTGTCCGGTTGATGCAATCCGTTAAGTGGCATCTCTGATGATTCTGAAAACGAAAGGAGACATCGTACATTGTAACAAACACAAGGAGACTTCCATTTTGATATTCATGCCCCGACATGTAATTAAGAAACAGGACATAGCTTCCTAAATGGGCAATGATTATAAAAAAGAAAAACAAACAAACAAGTACTAGCAACTGTTACCTGGTTCGCGAAGGGCTTCTGGATCTCCCGCAAGTTCTGAAGGGGCAAGACAAAAAAACTGATCAGCTGATTCATGGAAGCAACCGATCAAGTAGGTCGTTAGGAAAGTCTACACAAATGTTTGGGTAAACCTAGTGCACAGTGGCACAGCACACTGCAGAGCTCTCAAAGCCGTCAGTCTTACACAACCCTTTCTTTTCTAGGGTCAACACCCGAGACACAGGACCAATGACGCAACTCATTAACAACTCTGGATATCCTCTCTTGGAAGTGTGTCACTGGAATCTTAAAACGCTTACCCTACACAAGACCATTCTAAGCTGCACTTTGAGACTATTTCGCACTGAACTCCCCATGTTATCGAATAATATCCTAACAAAACTGATCCGTTTTCCAGCAAAAGGTACTATTAGTCTTCTGAAAGAAATTTTCCTCTCTGGAGTTCATTTACCTGGTAATCCGTCTAGGTGTGCGATAACAGCCGGAGATCCCTCAGTACGGCTTTGTTCCTCTGCAATTCTGGCTTGCAAGTCAGCCTGAGGACACCAAGGCCAGAAGCACGTTAAACCACATCCTCATGAATTAAATTCTCTTCAATGCTCACACCACAAATCTTTACTATCCGGCTTGGGAAAGCTACAATCAGCGACAAAACTGTTGAGACACCCCTCCCCTCCATTCAAAGGTGGGGCGTTTGTTGTTTTCTAAAGATGGCTCGAACAGCGGCACAACATTGCATGGAGGGGATTGGGGAGGGAAAGCTTTATTTTCCTTTTTGTAAGTTATCAAAACGTTGAGGAGGTCCTTTAGGACGAAGTGTCTCGACCACTCTTGTCACCGATTGTACCTAATTTGACAAGAGATTGTATGTCCATCTTGCTTACCTCCGTCAACCCAGTCAATTTAGTAGGAAGGTCATCTAGCGCAACCTCGTTATCCCCTTCACCATTAACTACCTGCAACAGACAAAATAACAAACACGGACTTGGTACTATCAACATCAGCCATTAAATCATTAAACAACAAAAAGCTTATGAGATGTCCGTTTACAGCTGACTTGTTTAATCATATTTTTTTTTTAAAGATTGGTAATCTGACTTGCCCTAGGCATTGACAGCGCAAAATTGCTGAGAATTTCACTACTGGGGTTGTGAGACGACATGAAATAGTAATTAGCATAACATGCACAGGCGGAGTAATAAATAGATGGCTCTTTCCCTTGGCGTTTGAAGCACTGACTAAATGGGGACTTTGTAACATTTATCCCCTACTCTCTCCCCAATAGGTTTTTTGAACATATTAGCTTACTTGAATGTCTACTTACAAGTGTCAATGAATGCAACTTACCTGTCCATTTTGCAGATATGGGGTAACACCTGCAGCTGCAGCAGCTTCAGCAGCCGCCTCTACAGCTTGTTGCTGCTCATCCTGAGGAGCTCCATTTTCGTCACTGTCGCTGGGTCCGTCCCTGTTGTTTCCTTGATCTCTGTTAGCAGCGGCAGCAGCCGCTGTGCTTCCTTGGTATTCTTCCAGCTTCCGTCTGGCATCAGAGTCGTCAAATGATTCCTCGCCGTCTTCTTCACCACTCCCAAAACTTAAATAAAAAGTAAGAGACGAACAAAGATACGTAATGCAGACCGGTCTAGATGCCACAGGTAGAGCAAGAAGGAGAGAAGACACATGCAATCCTATCCAGACGCTTTACAGTCGCTTCAGTTTAATACCACTTTTAGCTTAAGACGTCACGAACTTTATCAACACTTGTGCCATATTCACACCAACTAAACATGTTTAATTAAACCAGAAATGAAAAACAGACACGGGAAACTGGAACACAGGTTTTTACAAAGGATTTAAATGTAATTTGCACCAAATTTGCAATCAACTTAAAGTCAGTAAGCAGCTTTTATGAAGGGAACAATTTTAAACCGTGTTTAAGTAAACAGCTCTTAAACACGTTTAAGCTTTGGTGTGAATGGGGCTTTGGATAACTTGATTACTTCTCTCCTCTACTATGTGATGGCGTTACAAATACAATGCCTAGAAATATTTTCGGGATCTTTCTTCTCACTAGAAGATGAAATTAGGAGAGACCATCCTCATAGGGATGAGTTTGAACCAGAGTCAATAAACTACCTTGAAAAAGGCTTTGATTCACTGGCTGATAGCTCCAACTTAAAACACTTCTGAAATTAGAGAAAATTAGAAACAAAATATAATTGTAAGTGCTAAAGCTGGTGAAATTAACATCAGTCAATCAGTCACTCAATCAATCAATCAATCAATTAATCAATCAATCAATCAACCAACCAACCAGTCAATCACACAATCAATCAATTAATAGCAGTCAATCAATCAATCAATCAATCAATCAAACAACCAAACAATCAACCAACCAACCAACCAATCAATCACACAATCAATCAGACGATGACGGACAAAACGAATTAATTGATTCAGCAAGTCAGTGTAACAACTAACAGGAGATAAATATTGCCAGCAATATTAACAAGAGTAACCACTGAAAGAAGAAATAATTTACCTGTGGTGAATCCAAATTGCTGTTATCCTGTACACTAGAGAAACAGACAACAACGCTTCTGTTAGGTACGTATGGTTCACTTTCTGATAAAGTGAGGTAAAGCCAAGAAAGGAAAAGGTTTAGTCGCGTATCGACTGAGTGGCTTGTTTGTTTCATCAGAACAAGCTTTCTTCATTCGTACAATATGCAAAATAACAACATGACACGTCTATCACAGATAGACCTAGAGGTCGATATGCAACTGGGAAGGATAAGGCAGCTATCCAATTTAACGTTTAAGAATATCTTTTTGCAATGTAAGTTTACCTTGACGATCTCTCTTCAAACTGATTTGCCATGACGTCATCTCGCACCTTGAAACGTAATAAAACTGATAATTTAGAAAAAAAATGTTCCTCCCGTTTCTCACTGTCACTAACAGGGGTTTAAAGAAGTCGTAGGAGAGAATTTGAAGGGCTAAAGGGTGAGGCACAACGACAGTAGGTATTAGTAGAGAGCTTTCAAAATAAGTGTCAATTATTGTTAAAAGTCTATTTTACCCACATAATTGATCAATGCTTTTATATTGAGCTGAGTCTAAGAAATAACGTGACTTGAAAATTTACAAACCTTTCCAAGTTCTTCTTCCTCAGCTTCTTGTTGCTCCTTAGTGATGGGCATAGTAGCTGCCTCCTCTTCCTCCTCCTCGTCATCTTCTGGTCCTTCATCATCCGCACCCTCGTCTTCGGCTCCTGACTCCTCGGATGAGGAGGAGTCTTCAGTACTGCTTTCTTCTTCCTCCTCATCTTCGTTTTCCTCGCCCTCTGCCTCTTCACGTTCACCAGCAGCCCCGACTACCTCGTCTTCTACCGCACTAAGCGCCAACAACAAGCAAAAGTCAATTCGTGCTGATAACGCTTTACTAACTAGCTCTGACGGCATTGTATTACGCCTGAATGTTAAAAAGGTAATTCTAGTCTGCTAAGAGAGGTTCTTCATGCATCAAAACTTAGCAGGGTATCGCATCTTATTCACCTCTCCTAAATCGAGCACGTGAGGTTCAGTTCGTTTATAAATAAGGAGTCCCAAGCTCAATGCAACATCCATTTTTTCAAGATCACAGCCTCTATGGGCCCTTTGAATTAATATTGTAACCATCAAGCAAGTACACAATCAAAAAGTGCAGTGCGACAAAAAAACTTCACCTGCACTTATACGTGTACCTGTCTTCCGGCGCATGCTCATTCTTTTCTTTGGTTTCATCAGCGTCCTCTTTATCTCCCTCCTGTCCAGTTCCAGTGTCCGTGCTGGTGGAATCAAATCCCTGGCGCAACACAACATACAAGAATAGGTTAACCCTTCACTCCGTAAAAGTGACCAGTGTTTAATTTCCCCTTATGATAACACTGCCCAGTCAAAGTCCTCGAGATAAAAGGAAAGGATCAACAAGTGAAAAAGGTCTAGACTGCAAAACGATTTCCTCTCATAAATACTACAGGAAATGTACGAGGAACAGTGTTGATAATCTGCACATTGATATAAGGGTTTAAGGCTTAAAACAAAAAACTGACTGCCGAGCACTTCTTTTCTTACCACTAGTAAGAACAGAGTAACGTACTGACCTAGTTGCTACTACTAGTCAGTACTGCTAATAAATACTTCAAATACCATAACTACTACGAACATTAGTTGATCACAGCTAAGGGAAATAACCAAAAACAGTAAACATTAAAAACCAAAGATCAAAGTAACTAAATATTTACATTATTAGGGACACGAAGTCTTATAATACTTTACAGAAACAAAGATAAGCAAATTCCCTTATATAATGCTGCCATTAATCACACTCCCCTTGAGTGCAAGCTTATGTTTGAAGAAAAAAACAAACAAACCAACAACCAACCAACAAACAACAACAACAACAACAACAAACAGACATTAACAGATGCAATGGTTTGGGCACCGTACATTGACGGTAAAAACTAACCTGTCGCCATGATGGTCTTTGACTCACTGCGCGAGTTCTGTAGGAAATAGAAAGGAATGATTAAGTCAATGGCAAAGTAATGTACACTGATAATTACACTTAATACACTGCAATGAAATGGCGTGGAAACAAACAAGAGAAAAATCTTACCCATCTAGGTCTTGCATCAGTCTAAAAAACGCCAGCTCGTTAAAGAGAATCTCCGACATGTCTACCAGCATATCCTCACCACAGTCTTTCATCCTAGAAAGTGGAATTAATAACATTTTCGTCACTGCTTCTTTCCTACATCTTCGCCTTAATCTGATTGTCCCTCTAACTACAAGGCACACATTTCCCAAAATCTACATTTCCAGAAGTTGGATCAGATCTAGTCTAAGAGTTAAAATACTGCTAAAGAAACAAAAATCTTTCAAGGTTGTTTGTTGGTAAATCAATGGGTGAGCCTGTCCCTGATGTAATATATAGCGTCCAAATGCAAGTAAGGATAAACAACTACAAACATGAAAGCCAACTCACTTTCTATCTGCAAATCTAGCAAGTGAGTCTTGTAGAATGGAAGCCAACTGTTTATGAAAGAATCTACCAAATTCCTTTCACAAGAAAAGAACAATGTAACAAGTGAATAAACAATGTAACAAGTGATACACCAAGAAAGGAAGTTGCCTTTACCAAAATAGACGTATTAGTTATAATTATTTGTTGACTTTTTCATAGCTGATGATTTAATCCATAATATAACATAGATCTCTCCACTCTGTTCTATAAAAAGATCTCTAGTACAAAAGTTGATAATCTGTTATCTTTGTTGACCATTTCGTTCATTCTCACGATCTTCACGTCCAATCAATGACGACCACAGCAAAGAGAAAGCAGAGGATGGCCATTGTGAGGGCAGGTAAATACCTTAAAGGGGCTGTGTCATGGCAGTTCAGTTCATTTTGTTTAATTTTGCCAATTACTCGCCCTCAATCGCTATGGAACTTAAAGTAAGCAAAGAAACTACACGTAAATGACAAAATCAGAGATCCGAGACAAACAAATATGTCTCCTGAGCATTATTTTTGAAGTTGCAAGCAGCAGGGATCAACTTTGAAAAACTGTTAGCCTGAACAGTTTTCAAAAACCCTAATTTCAATCCGTTTCAATCTTCTTCACGTTTGCCCATCCGTGGCATCTGTTGTTTCTGTTATGTTATTTTAGCCTTCCTTTAAAGTTTTAAGCGGTTATTTTCATGTTTCTCTTAATTTAACGGGCATTTTGTAATTTCCTAATGTGGCTGAATTTCGTGACACAGCTCCTTTAAAGTGACTGATAGTTAAACAGGGTTACCATCCAGACACAGGACGGTCATCAATGGACACCCTGTAGAGCAATGAAAACCTTACCATCGACTAGTCATCCCAGCACGTATCTACCTTAATAACTAAAGCTGAGAATTACCTGCTCTTCGTTGACCTGAATCCTCGATAACACCAAGTTTCTAATGTACCCTAGCAGATCAGGGGAGCAGCTGTCCTCCATGTGCTCATTCAGATATGGAATCACTTCCTGAAGAAAGGCAACCATTCCAGAAAACAAATTAACAAAACCTGCACGCAGCTAATTTACCTGAGGGATATACAACCTTCGGCTACTTCGTAAAAAAAGAAAGCCTGGTAAGATCATCTTTGCACTGCCCAATTCAAGCAAGTTGTCTTGAAAGTTGCATTTTTAATATTTCCATGAAGATGGCAAAAAACGAGGTCAAAGGCGGTTATGTACACAGCAACGATAAAACGAGGGGTTTGAAAAAAAGGTGACAATGTTTTATCAAGTGCATGTATGTTTATCACACTCACCGACATGATGGACTTGATGAGATGGTCCAGTGCTTGTGTGTCAATCCTGGGATACTGTGGAATGGTTGATTACTATTAGGGATCATTAGGGACCACAAGGATTAAACCTATTTCAACTAGTGGTCTACTATCAATGCTACGTTCTGTTTGGTTGAGCTACTACTAGGCTATGTGTTATAACCCACTAGAAGCGAAAAGCGCCGGCATGAAAACCAAAACAATGGCGGCTGAATCGCGTTTTGCTAGCAAAGTTGTTTTGTCTCTATATTTTTGTCCAACTAGTTGGATTTTACTAAAACAATAATCAAGTCAATAGCCCATTCGGCCTTTGGCCTCATGGGCTATTGACTTGGAGCTCATTCGGGCTCGAGGAATAATTGTTAAATACTATAAGAACCTAGTCAAGACTGCACATGTATTTCCGAAAAATATATATGTACATATCCCTTCTGAAATAATGTGCTCATAAGGGCTGATATGTTTCACAGTGCCACGAAAGTTAGTGTTTAGTAACCGCTCCCTCAGTTTCTGAAGAAATGAGTTCTTTCTGTGCTTTTGTCCACTACTTTACAATTCCCAATACCAGCTGAAAGTAACCCTCACTTCTAGCGGGGTACAATACCAGGTATTCACCAATGCATGCGCAGTGGTCCGCCAAAACGCGTGACTAACCTGCACATCAGAGATTGATGATTCACTCCCTACGTCACCAGCAGAACTCGTAGTAACGTCATCTTTGATGAGTTTGTCCCTTGCGGCAGATTGACTGGCTACCAGTTCACTCAGTTTCCCCTCTGTTCGCAGTCTTTCATACTCACGCATTCTGCTCAAAGCCTGAAACGACAACACGACACGCTAAGTAAGATCTTATAGATAGCCTAATATGATAACTCTTAGGATACGGCAATTAAAGCAGTTTAGATTTACTATCATGCTTTGGGACCCTCTTATAGAGATACAGAGACCTTCCTTAATTTGTTTACCTTCCCCTTTTTGTGAATACTTAAACCATTCAATTAAGAATAAACTTTTAACCCAAAATTCGCGATGCGTCATGTTTTCGAAAAAAAACTGTCCTATGTAACTGACATTCAATTATAGGTTCAACATCAAGCTAGAGTTCGATGTAGCTACAAAATTTTTTGAACTGATAATCACAATAACAAACTAAGTCTTCAAGAGAAATATATTCAAATGACAGTTGACTAGTTCAGGCCGCTACTTGGACTTCTGTCGCAAGACGAAGTTACATATAATTAAATCACAAATCAAAGTTAAACGTCGGGAGCTCAGCTGACTCTTGAAGGCTAACGGTGAAACTCACAAGCGCATGCTCACATTAGTAGCGGCAATGTGGTAGATGTTTCAGCACTTCCGAGCCTTTATTTGGAGCGGTTTTTTTAAGATTACCCTCCATCCTACCCAACATTTGCTTTTACCATTTCAATCATTGTGACGAGTGCCTGGAAGAGGGGTACAAGGCTGGCTGGCCACGGTAGAATCCTCTGCATACCCCACTTCCAGTTATACGAAGGAGGAGTTAAATGTATTTCAGCATACCTTGTCAAGGTGAATAACAGTATCTCCGAGTCCTTCACAGGCAAAGGGTGCTTCTCCTGTGTGGCTGGATGTAGGCGTTGACAGAGTGCTTCCAGATTCCACGTTCTCTGCGTAGTCATAGATACCTTCTGTAACGGTCTCAGCTGGAGCAACGGCTCCTTCCCTTGTCTGCAATGTAAAATGCACTCAGTCCAACCTCTACTGACGACCACCTCTCAAGAACGGCCATTCTTGCCGAGGCGCATACATTCACTCTTGTTTTAACCCCTCTATACTGCCCATCAAAGTTCCAAGGGTGACCAACATCAATTTTCTCTTACACACTATCAACACGTGTCCAAGAGAAAAGGATATGAGAATTAATAAAATGATCACCTAAAGGAAAATGCTTTGATCTTAAAGACAAATTCTCTCAACTATTCTTAAGGGAAGTATAGGGAGATCAGTGTGTATGTGGATATTGGGACTTAAAAGGTAACTACGACAGTAGAGGCTGTTGTAGAACAGTTTGCCCGTAAAGGACTGTGTGTACATCATCCACAATCGAACCCTTTCGCTATCAAAGTCGAATTCACTTGCTCATCTCGAACATGTTACGCAGCCTTTCACTATCAAATTGCTTATCAGTTGGTCATCTTGAAAACGTAACGAAAATAAAATAAAATACTAAAATAAGCCATGACGTTTGGTCCTCGTTTTGATAAGTGGGCTTCAAAGATTCTCATTCCTTGTCCCGTTTTTCTACACGCAAAGAAAGTGCTGGTAAATGAGGCTTTACTTACATGCATACACAGAAACGAAAACGTGACCCAAAATAGAGGAGCAGAAGGTAGACTTTTTTTTACACACAAGAAACCTTAACACTACGTCGAAACACATTTTGCCACCTCTAGGGTACCAACCCCTACCTCTGATTCGTCATCTTCAAAGGTCTCAACTGTTTCACTTGGAGTCAGTTCTGAGTTAGAGCCCAGCCATTCCTGGAACCGCTATTAAACAGATAAGAAAGGAGAACGATAATTAGACTGGGTATCTGAAACGAGGTTTAAGTCACTGGTACTATTCTGTTGAATGTGGGAGTCAGGGATACAGTGGAGTCCTTCGACTCCCTCAATTCAAACCCTCGTTAAATCGAACCTCGCGCCTACCTCTCACCAAAATCGATTTCCCCTGGATTTCCCCTTAAATTCGTTTTTTATGTAATTTCACGCTCGATAACTCGACCCATGTTTTAAGCGGGTGACAAGTCGAAAAAAAAGTGTGATGATGTCCGAAACATTACATTTATTTCACATTTTAAAACAACCGCGTATTCTTTGTCTTTATTTTTAAGTCAGCCCAGTTTCAAATAAAGTGTTCAACGATGTCTGAATATAATCAGGCACATTGCAGTGCCGGATCCAGACCTTGAGAAAAGGGGGGGGGGGGGGTCATCCAGACCCTGGGATAAGGGGAGGGGAGCCCCGGTCTCCAAAATTTTTTTTCGGCCTTTCGGACCTCAGTTTGGTCTAAAAATAAGGGTGAGTGGCGGGGGCATGATAGTTGTAGTCCTTCCCCATCCATTTCCTTATTTTCGGTTATTTGCTTCGAACTCCCGATAACTCGAACTAGAACTTTTTTCGATTTCCCTAGAAGTTTCGAGTTATCAGGAGTCCACTGTAATTTTTGCTCCAACGATAAAAACTGATAGAAATCGAGAGTAAGTCTTTTACTTGTTTTCGTTAAGTCTCACAAGAATACGTATTGCTAATGCATATATAACAGCACCTTCTGGTAATATAACGGAGCATGACATTTCTCGATTTCCAGTCTACAATTTGGTAGTTTAATAACGGCCAATCAGAGCGCAAAAAGAATTTTAATAAGTTGATACAAGGTAATAGAAGTAGTTAAGCGCTTACCGCCTGCTGCAGTGCTCCTCCTTCGGCACCTACTACTGAGTCTTCAGTTAAAAATCTCGTCACTAAGTCCTGCAAGGCGTATAGAGCCCGCTGTCTCAAGTAATCTGATGTCAACAGCTGGAGCTCCCTGAACAGCTCAAGCTGCAAAATAAGAAAATCAAAATTTATCTGTCAAAATTCAACACTGTTCAGCACTGATCTTGCTCTTTTCAACTACGGGCGAACCTCCACAAACGGGCACCTCTCCACAAGGGCCACTTTTTTGGGGGGGGGTACAACGGCCCCTTTTTTAGGGGGGGGGGGTGGGCGGGGGACAGTCCATACATTGATTCTCCCCAAAGTGGCCGTTGTGAAGACGTTGAACTGAAGTACATTACAATAGAAATTGGGAACACCAAACGAAACCATAGAAAAAATAACAATCAAGTAAGGGATATAGAAAAGCGAACGTGAAGATGTCTTACCAGAAAATGAGGTCTGGACTCATTAAGAGAAATTAAAGTCGCAACTTCAGAATATATTGAATCTCTTAATGCCTCAAAGAGGGAAAACTCACTACCAGCTTCTGAGGCTCTGTGAGAATGGAGAAGAGAAAAACATGATTCAGCTTGACTCAATTTAGCCTGAGAAGACAGCCGACATTTCACGACGCAAAAACCGGTTTCCCAGCGAAATGAAGTCTGTTTTCTCACGCTAAATTCCATACTGGTGACGCGTCACACTCAGATCTGGATTGTGAATCTGATTGGTTGAAGCAAATTTTCCTCGCGGCACAACCAATTAATAGCTATACCCAGTCCTGGGAATCGACGCGTCATTAGTATGAAATTTCTACGCTTGTTCCTCAGCGTCATTTCGCGGGGAAACCAGTGGTAGCGTCGCGAACGGTCGGCAGTTTTCCCAGGATAAATTGAATGAGAACAGAAAGAAGGATACGAAAAAAATATCACGAAATACAGTAACTTACCGATCGGGCTCTTGCAAAGAGCTACGGAGAAAAGAATAATTTATTAATTATTAATAAAAAAGTGGGTTTTTAATGGAATGGCTCCAGTCATTTTTCACTTAAATGCCGTCTTTATGCCACAAATTTTGTCTGCATGAAGAGTTTCTTTTGCTTTATACAATAAAGAAAAATAGTTGGGCTACACCCAAACAATTTACAAATAATGAGCCTAAGCTGAATTAGGCGAAAATAAGTGGAACTTCACCCAGTTGGCCGCTTACTAACAGGAAGGCTGTTAGTTCTTTAATAGTTTATTTTTGCGTCACGAAAACGCTAACTACGGACCTTAACGTTCACATTTAATACTACATTAGAACCACAAACAGAAAGAAACCCTGTACCTTTTAGTCACATCCTGAACATCTCCTGGCACACTGGAGGCCCTTGAAGATGTCTCCACTGACTCAGCCACCAACTTCTGTACTAAAATTCCAGTGCTTTTCTGTGCTGATTTATCTTTCTGCGCAAGGTCAGCTACAGCCGAAGCCCTCAGTGGTGTGTTGAAAGTTCGACCAATCACATCTGTGGTACTCTCTGTTTTGGCAGCAGCGGCACTTGTGACTGTCAGTTCTAGTGAACAAGGCTTACTTTTAATTTTCAGGAAACCTTCCGATGGGGAACTTAGATTAGAGAAGCCGTGTCACGAAAATTATCATAATTAAAACTGTGGTAACCGCTAACCAACTGAGTAGCATAAATAAATTTAAACTGTTCAGAACATGAAAAGGGGGCGTAAAATACACAGCAAATACAAAAAAAGGAGGGAGGGATGGAAGAAGTTGACGACGATTGAAAAGGATTACAACCGTGGTACAGTCGAACCTCCACTAACGGCCAGCTCTCTACAACGGCTATTTTTTTTTTGGCGGACAGTCCATACATTGACTCTTGTTTAAACCTCTCTACAACGGCCATTTTCTTCTGCTCCAAGGTGTCCGCTGTGGAGAGGTTCAACTGTATTTGAAAACATGTTAGCCTTACAGTTATTCAAGATTCATTGCTGTTTTTTGTAACAATTGATTTAATGCTTGGGAGACTTTTGTTTGACACTAAGCTGTGATTTTGCCATTCACAGGTAATTTCTCAAGTTCCATAACGAATAACGACGCGTAATTGACATTATTTCAAAACATAATGAAGTAAACAACGTGACAAAGCCCCTTTAATATTAAGAGATTCCTTGCCAATTATAATTATTATTATAGTTATAATCAAAAAAGATAAATGTATATCGTCAGAATATGTAGAGCAGTCAGCTCATCAATTAGAACTGGACCATTTTGGATTGCCGAGGCGGCAGCATAGTTCTTCGAGTATGACAGTGGCAATTCTTTACTTCAGATCTACAAGGTTTTTCAAAAAAAGCTGACAAACAGCCAAAGTACACTCGACTATCTAACAGTTGCTATCCGTCTGTATTTACCGTATATATATTATGCTATATATAAGTAGTCTCCTACCAGGTCGTTTTTAGTGCCAAAGAACGGCTGCGACGGAGACTTATAAATGAGCAGCTTTATTTGGCGTCAAACTTTAAAACAATACATTCTAAATCGGTAACAACTTAAAAGCACAACTTAAAACACGTGCCACTTAACAAGATAAAAACATTGGTCATTGGGTGGTTTTGACAAGACACTTTCTGCACGTATCTTATCTTGGAGATAATGGGTGCTTACCACTCAAACAACCCACCCGGGTGGAAGTCTTGAGCATGACCATTAACTATGAAATTTGACACAGTGGGTGTACGACCCGGTACAAAGCATATCCAAATCAGCAGAACAAACAAAAAAGAGTGGGTAACTGCGTCGCTTCAAATCGCAGCCCATATTTTTCTAACGCAAACCATTATTTTTTGGATTTTACAACTTGAATTTTTGGTGTCCCTATGTACATGTGGGTCTACCAATAAACAAACACACACGTACCTTGGTATGAGCTGGGATCATACTTCCGCTTCTGTTTAACAGTAGCAGGTGATAAGCCCACCCCTGCTGAGCTGGCACCTACTTCTCGAACCACTTTGACAGAACTGGCCAATCCTGAGGAGGTTGGGGGAGGGGCAGGTTCAACAGGATGGCCGCGATACCTAGTAGCCCTTGGACTTGGGATGCCTGTGTCTGGGTTTAACCCAAAAGACTCCTGAATAGGTTCTCGCCTGCTCCCAGACGGTTGGGTGTTTTCCCTTCGTTCAGTAGTTGACGCGGTGGACTGCAAAGCAAAACAACAATAAAAAAACAAACAAACAAACAAAAACAATGGTTAAATTAATATTAATAGTAACGATCAAAGGTCAGGGCCAGTTCGTGCCTCCACCATACCAACGTCTGTATATTTCGCGATTTTGTGACGCAAATTTTCGCTTGCTGTGGTGGACACATTACCTTAAAACTTGGTAAAAACTTGGTAAAAACTTGGTACGTTTCCTACTTTTAAGGCGCTCTTTCCAGCAGTGCCGATGGATATTTGTTTACTGGTCTTTATCAAAACTTGAAAAAAAAAAAACTGTGGCACGGTCTATGTCGTGGCCGACATTTATCATCAAGCAAGACTGGGGATGTAGAAAACAGCAACCCTTCGGATGAGGCTGCCACGACTCCTTGATTTTTTTTTAGAATTTCACATGGCGAATACGCGAACAAAAAGATTCGCCAACCCGACGAAAACGCCTACATGAAAGCATATCTATTCCAAAGAGCGACTTCTTTAGTTTTTCAGTGTGAAGATTCAGAGCAACTAACCGGACCAACTGTAGGATGCCAAGCAGCTCTGAATACAGGTGCCGAAGAAGGAGGCTGATAAGTATTACTGAAAGAAGCCTGACTATTCACTGGAGCCGAGAAGGGTGGCTGTTGTGGACTGTGAAATGGCAGATTCATAAACATCGGAGAGGTATTAGCATCGTTTGGGGACGCCGTGAAAGGCCTTTGAGGTGAGGGGTAGTTTTCACTGAGAGCCGAAGAGGGGTTGTATGAAAAGAGTTGTTGGAATTGCTGTTGAAGAACTGCCATGTCTTGATGCTGTTGCTGAAGTTGGGAGTAACACTGATTGAGGCTTTGAAGTATGTGGTGCTGCTGCTGCATGTAGCGCTGTTGTTCAAAGAAGCTTTGGAGCCCTTGATACGCTTCTTGCTGCCTTTGCTGATACTGCTCAAATGGGTTACTGCCTGTAATGTGAATGCAAACAAAAAAAGAAACTCGCACAGATGACACGTTTGTTCAAGTAAAAATAATTGATATGAATTAAAACGGCTCCTAAACAAAAAATTTGCTGAGAGTAGGCACAAGATACAATACACAGCAGCTTCCCTGAAACTTCCCTGAAAGGATAAACATTTCGGCCAAAAGACATTTTAAAAATTAAATGAGTTTAATTCAATTGGAAACCAAGCCTTAGGAGAGCTAGAGTACTGAAAAATCAACCAAAATACCAAATAAATAAATCAGAGCCTGTGTAACAATAATGGCCTCTTTTAAGTAGCTTTTCTTTATCTTTACACACATATATGGGAGTGCGACTGACGTTATTACACTGTGCACTTTTCGAAACAATAGTCACCAACTTAAAAGATGGTTATCCCATAGGTTTGGAACACCAACATGGCCGCCGTTTCATCGGTTTGGAACACCGATATGGTCATTATGGTACCGTGACGTCATGTGAAAACGCTCTATAATGACTACTATAAGAAAAAGCTTACCGAGACCACTCCCCGAGCTGGAAATGTTCTGGAAACCAGCCGAACTCGGAGACGGACCGCTTGTGACATTTCGACTAATCACGGTGGACACTAGCATCTGTTGGTCTCTAAGAAGGTCATTACACAGGGTGGTAAGGTTGGCCACTTCCTGGTGGAGACGCTCACAATGCTGCTCCCAAACCTGACGCTCCATGTTAAACTGTTCCTGTTCACGATCTTTGATGAGTTGTTCAGCAGGTGTAAAATTCTTAAAACAAAAAAAAGCTCTTCAGTTGGACAGAAAAACTCTCGACATACCGTAAACTGCTGTTTATAAGTTCTTGCCTTTAGCAGGGCTAATAAACGGATGTACTTTTTTGTTTACAGGTAGCAAGAGAGACTAATGGAGAGGCCTTTGAACGCGAAGGGCGGGGGATGATGAGTGGGGTGGGGTGAGGGGTGGCTTATGAGAGGTAGTCGGTATCAAACTTCACTACCCAGGAACGAGGGTAGTCCATTACTCTATACAACAAACACAGAGCAGGATCTGCAAAGCCCTTCACCCAATAAGCATTCTTTAGAAAACAGCCATTTCCATAGAATATCATGATAAGAAATACCACCCTCTGCCTGACGTTAAAGTCAATAAACTAAACGGATAGGTTATTAGAGCAGAGTTTAAATGGTCAGGTGTATAACAAAACTAAGTTCAAGGTGTTTACACTTGGCCAACTCTCCCATCTAAACATTGTTTGCTGTCAACAGCGTCAAAGCAGCTCACAGCCCCCACTGGAGCCCCATTCACACCAAAGCTATAACATGTTTAAAAGCTGTTTAACACGGTTTAAAATTGTTTTCGTTATAAAAACGGCTTACTGACTTAAGTTTATTGCAAATTTACAGCAAATTACAAAGCATGTGAAGGATGTTGAATTTCATTTGAATCCTGTGTAAAAACCTGTGCTTCAACCTGTCTGCTTTTCATTTTATAAAACCTGGTTTAATTAAACATAATTGTTTAGCTGGTGTAAATGGGGCATAGAACACTATTTGTCTATTTACAATAAACACCTTACAAACAGATTTAGAGTTCCACTGTCTTAGAGCGTAGTTGAGCGTTCTTACTGATGAAACCTTGACTATACCTCTTGCCTTATCCTCCCTCTGGAATTCCTGTCGAAGTAGAAAGTTCTGGGCCAATCTTCAAATGTTAGGCCTCTTTCTCGGTCTCTTTTACGGGCTCCGCCTGTGTGAGTCGAACAGGGAAAAGTTCATAGAAAACGCAACCCAACAAATAACAATTCAATTTTACGAGGGTGCAACAGGTCTTGTATGAATCTGAAGGCAAAAATACACTAGCAAAAGGACTTCTATTATTATGCGCTGTGTTTTAAAAATAAAAAGATAACTGTCTACATGTGCTTGTACTTTCGTACACGTTCCTCTCGTATAAGGGGGAACAAAATGTTAGATCTTTTAGAGCACGTTGGGAACCAAAATCAGACATCTGCTTGGGTTATTATTTCAAACTACTGACAAAAAGGGTGTTGGGTTTTTGTAGCTAAGCAATTATGGTACAGATTTCAAAACTCAGTCCGAGCTGGTTTGATCAAGTCAATAAAAAGCAATTTTTAAGGGCACAGAATGACAGCTCAAGATGTACAACAAAAGCACTTATGAAATGTTTGTTAAAAAATGCATGACCGCAAGGAACTGTTCAAGACCACCAACCAATTGTGACACTGACCTGATAAGATTGTACTATCTAGCTTCCTCTTTTTGTTTCTGTTTGTTTGGGAGGTACTGTCTACACTGTCTCTGAAAGCAGACATGCGAGGCACTCGTTCCCTGCTCCGGAACACAGCCTCAGCACCGCCAGAGAAAGCCACTCCTGCTTCTAGCTGTTCTTCCTCTTCTTCTTCCGCCTGTACAATTCCTTCAGGAAAATCATCTTCTACTTCAACTGCAATCTGCAGTAAAAGGAAACAGGACGTAATATAGCTATGACTTCTAATGATACACTACAAAGCAATTGATCACAACCTGCCTCAAAGAAAACTTTAAAAAGTACTTCAACCCTGAGCCTATCGCTCGCAGAGGCAGTTAACCAAAAAAGCTGACTAAAAGAACTGAACATTATATAAATTTCACACGGGCAATCTCAAATTCACGCAAGAAGATTATTTGAAAACGAGGCTTGGTATAGAAATTTGCTCGTCTGACGTGAATATATGTCATTACATTCATGTTTTTATGAAACCGTACCTCTCCTCCCTGATTTTCATCATCAGAGCCATCAGCTGACACTGCAGAGTCATTCTGTGTACTGCTAGGTTGGGTGGAACCTCCCCATGTGGCTGTAGTGATATCAGCACTCATCATACTCACTCCAAACCCTTCATCTAAATCCCCACTCCTGCCGCTTCGAACTGAGTAGGTGCCACCTTCTGACACATCATCCAAGCCAGCCTTCTTTCGTTTCTCTAAGAACCTTTGTTTTCTTTTCTTAAGCTTTTCTTCGTGTAGTTCCCTTTGGCGTCTTAGTTCTGACCAAACTAATGCACTAGGACGAGCTAAAATAACAATTATTATGCAAAAGTGTCACTACAAGCACGCGACTAACTATTGTTACCACTGTTTTTGTTTCGTCATTCCTACAGACATTATTGGGGACAATCGTTTTTATACAGGTAAAAGTGACATACACCAACAGACAATAGAATGTTATAACAGAGGGTTTTATCATAACGGGTTTGAGTTTAGTCAAAAGTTTAATTAATTTTCCAATCTTACAAATAAAGGTTCCTACAAGTTGATATAGCATATTTTAGTGTCTATGTCACACTCTGGTTTTAAAAAATCTTCCAGTGTGTGTATACATGTAGTAAAAGCTTAACAATACACTTTAACTTCTACTGAATTAGATTCTGCACGATGATCTGATACTCTTCTTTTGGGAATACTCGGATGTTTTCTTTCAACTGGCAAACTGCCTGTGTCACTAACTGAATAACATTTTTCTTATGTATTCACCAGGCTTAAAATTCACTAACACATTTCTATCATCTTATTTCTTAACAAAAGGCCTTGCCACCTAATACACAGAAAACAAAAGACGACTAATTCACCTCTTGGAGGTTCATTTGAGTCCACAGATCTTGCAGCTCTCAGATCACTTCCATAGAATGGTGTCTGCGTTGACATTTCTCTATTGACGGGCCGATGAATAATTGGTCTCTTGGAGCCATCTGCTCGACTGATAGTGAAAGTATCATGCCTGAATACAGATCCGCCCGTCTCTGGCTTTTGAGCCTGTGCTCGTGTGGTCTAAAATGTAACATAACGAATTAAAGGACGTCAACAACAAAACCATCAAACTGAACTTTTTGTCTCCAAAGTATATGACATGCACTAATATTTTGAGCGAGAAAAATCTTCATTAATTTGTACAATTTAACGAACTACGAAGCTATTCAAGTGACTGGAGAACAGATCTAAAGTAACATTAAGCATTTCTCTGGTTAAAAACTTTAAGCTTGGACATTGGCTTCAATGAAATTTATCATTTAAGTTCAGTGTGCAAAGAAAATAAGTTCAAGAGCAACCAATTCAGACAAGCTGTAGCTAGCATGTACTGGCCCTGAATTAATTTTGATGAGCAGGATAAATTATAGACTTTCCAAAAGTCCTTTACTGTTTTTCCTGGTTGGTTATGCCATTTTAAACGACTTTTAGTACCTGCTTGGCGTGAAATTCACCAGTCAAAAATTCTATCCGTGACGTCATGACAATTGACCAATAAGACAGTGAGTAATATTTCACGCCACTCCTGACACAGCATAATGTCAAACACTTTTTTCCCACATGAATTTATATGATTCAAATTCATTAAGGTGAAACAAGTCAACCTCGAGACTTTGTCGCTCGCTCGGTCACTGTGCGACCTCATGCATTGAAGCTCACTTCACTCACTTTTAAGAACAGTAATTACTTATGGGAGGTCAACTCGTCCCAAGTCTAGATAAATTATTAATCACCATAGGCCACTTTACAGTTATGTATGGAAACCAGGCTGGAGTTGACTTTCTTTTCATACAATGCTTTCTTCTTTCTTATGTGAATCTTGTTGTTTTTATTCTAACTAGTAACTTCCATAAGAAAACAAAGGAGGTTTGTATAAAAACAAGGTCCACCTCAGCCTTGCATTCACTTGAAGGCTATGGTACTAAGCCCTTAACTGTGAAATAGTATAATAATTATAATCACTTGCTTCACTAATTTTAATAATAACTGTAAAAATTCCACTTAGACCAGTATGAAATGCAGCTTTCAATCCACATGAATTGATTTGGAATGTAAACGTTTGTCTTTCAGTACTTCTGTGACTTGACTGTTCCCTCCACGGGCTTTTCTTGCCCGTTAGGAACGTTAAGAACAGAATTCTCTAGTCAGAACATAAAGTCCACTGGTCCCAGGCCATCAGACACGACTTCCCTTACACGAAGAAGTTGCACTTGACCTTTTCTCAATCTAAATGAACTAATCACCATTATCTTTCATGAATTGATTTAGTACTTATAATATGATTCCACCATCTTTACCTGGGTTGCCACTGTAATGTGGGGTTTGGAGGGTTGGCTCATTCTTGTAAGCTCCTCCTGCATCTCCAGTAACCTCTGCCTTTCTTGTTGCAGCTGCTCCAGCTCTTCAGTTTGTTTGCGCAAATACCTTTGATAAACTGCTTCTTGGTCGCTTCCTGCTGAGGAAAAGAATAAAATTTATTAGTATTTATGATAAAAAGTGCCACTTAAGCAGGTCTTAAAACATTTTGGCTGCCTCTATTTCATCTAAACACCAACCATCAAGCTGCAGCATCCCGTTTCTGATTAATGAAGTGGAATCTCCACCAGCCTCCTCATCTTCAGTAGCTGAAGTAACCTCCTCCTCTTCATTTTGAATGTCAACGCCTTCATTGTCATCTGAAGGCTCAGATCTGTTGCTTTCACCTCTTTCCTCCTCATCTTCTCCCTCTCTGTCATCATCATCATCATCATCGTCATCATCATCGTCATCATCATCATCTTCATCATCAAAGTCTTCATCATCAAAACTTAGTTCTGCTAGCTCTGCTGGTAAAGCTGGTGATGAGTCTGGAAACTAAAGAGAAAACATATGGATGTAACATGATCGTGTACCACCAAACAGTGTTCAATCTAGAAATTAACCATGTGACATGTTAAATTGGGTCATTTCGAAAATGGTCTGAGTCAAAGTATAATATTGAAACTTTGAACTACAGACATCATCCGAAATATCACCAGTATATATATTTTATAGTTTAATGCTTTTCACAGTTTTGATTCCTTTATTGCAGTAAACAGTCAAATACTGATAACATCAACATGGAGGCTGGCACTGCAGGTGGTACCGCAGTATGAATTGGCTTTTAAATTATAATTGTAAGGCTGGAAGGTTATTTTAAGATACACATTGACTATACAGCCTTCTGCTTGCAGTCAGGAAAGTCACTGGTTCACTTGACAGACCAAATGGCACACATTGGGGATGCTCTTACGGTGGGACTTCCTAGTTTCTTAGCCAAGAAAGCACTGTTAAAGTGAGATTTACAAAAATTGCGGCAGAATCAAAAAACACTAAGTTCCTTGATAGTTTCCCAAAAACAAGTTGGCAACAGTTGGCCACAGACTAGCATTCAAGACTGTAATATCGGAAGACTAAGGACAACAATTTACAAATGGATGTAGTATTCCAAACCATGTGGACTAAAATTGTACTTTTGTTGTGTCTCTATTGTTAAGTACTGACATAGCCCTAACATTATCAAATGTTTTCTCTCCTTAAAAAGCAAATACCTGTTGTATCTTTTTCACAAGTTCCTGGAGTTGTTTTAGTTTCTGCTTTGCAGAGTTCAGTTTCCTAAATTACAGAAGAACAGAAGAGAACGATTACAAAGACAGAAATGGATACATGCAACGAAAAATGTTGATTTCCCTGTCCTAAAATAGCCATTCGCATTATTCAAAGAAACCATCTAAAGAATTGCTCACTTGACTTTGGCTTGAAATTCAGGATCATCTTGCCATGCTAAAGTGTTGACACTTGAACTAGCAGCGCTCTCTACGTCAGTGTCTGTCTGTGACTCTGGCTCAGATTCCTCTTCAGTAGTCTGTGTTTGAACATCTTCATTGTTTACTCTTGATGGGACCAACTGCAAAGAAACCCAATTTTCTCGTGTAAATTGCGTCCATTATGGTAAATTTAAATGTATAAAACGTGTGTGATACTGCAATATCTGTAGCGTATACTACTATGGCATTTTTCACTTACTATAATCGCTCGAGTAAAGGCCAATAATTATTGGGCTAGTGGATTTGCTATCGGGTTAGTGAATTCTGTAATTAACTTGCCCGATGGGCGAGTGAATTTTGTTGAGGAATTCAAATTACAGAAGAACTGTGAAATCAATCTGCTCATCAGAGCGTTTTTGGGGCTAGTTGAAATGATATTTGGGCTAGTTTATGTTAGCTTCAGCTTGCCCAAATGGCAAGCTGTAAAAATGTTTTTCTTTGCACCCTGCTTTGTAGAACAATGTAGCAAACTAATGTTTCAACTCATTGCGGTTCATTATAGCGTAACTCTCTGTAGTTTAAATACAGTTGTTTAAGCTTATATTTATTTCTGATCACATCATTGCAACCAACCTGAACGTTTTCATTTGTCTGTTTGAATAGGTGAGCAACCCTTGCTCTTGCTTCTTGAAGTTGTCTGTGAGAAAATTGAAAAGAACAAAGTAGCAAATACTTGGATATTGTAAGGTATCTTTTTCCAGTCAAATTTTACAGCACATTTTCTGGGTGTTCGTGTCTACATGTATATAAAGAGGTCTCAGGGCATTTTATGCAGGTTAACAATATTTTCTGTTGGTTTAACTAGCATAACACTCAACCCTAACATCTAGCATGCAGAGGAGAAGAGGTCAGCTTTTAAGGTTAACATCGGGCACTGGTGGAAATTTCAGTAAATAATAGTGTGATACTAGGAAGAGTCACTGTCAAGGTCTTGTGGTCTACTCCCCCTTTTCTTTCCTTCTCATTTTTTCTCTTCGTTTCAACGGAAAGGGGCTGAAGAGTCCATCCACTTCATCTACAGTGGCTCACATTATGGCTTAGTCTTTTCGTAATTATTTTTTTCAACTTTCTATTTCCTGATTTAAAATGTTTAGGACAATTACCATTGACAACAAAAACATTTCTTAAAGAGTTGCACCTTATTTTCCCCAAAAGATCTGGATCGACAAGATCAGAACTTAATAACCAGTCAGTGCTGCTCGTGCCCTGTTCAACAGGTGCACTAGCTCCACCAACTGCACCTTCAAGTTCTTCTGGCTCCTCAGTGCTCTGAACTGGAATGCTCAGCTGTTCCACTGCAGGGTGAGTTTGTGGCACACCCTCTGGTCTCTGGCTTAGCTCACCTTGTGAAGGCTACAGAAATTAAATAAAAATATATATAATATAATTATGCAAAAAAATACATTTCCCAGTTGAGAACATTTCAGATGACAAACAAGAACATTGGGTGTCTAAAATGGCATTACCCAAGCCAGAAACGTAAGTTATCCAGCAGTCTGATGTCATTTACTGTGACAATGACGGACAAAACTTAAAGTTCACAAGTAATACCAATTTGATTATACCCTAACAAAAACAAATTGATTCTTGTAATCTACAGTTACCCCAAGTTTCAGTAAAACTACATTAATAACTTTCATTTCTTCCAGTTCTCTGGCCCTCTACTTCTTGTATTTTGCCTTTTTGCTGTTCCATAACAGTCTTTTATATTGGTTATGTTTTCCAAAAACAAAGTGTAAGTGGGTTGGAGAGCCAGGTAAATCATTCATTGCCTTTTGCATTTCAAGCAATCATCGCCATTTGGCAACACTTTCAGTGTAGTTTTTGTCCTCAAGAGGCCATTCATCAAAGTTATCTGAGATTGACAAAGTTATTGTCAACATCATAGTTATTGCTACTTTTGACCACTAACACCAAACATTCTTGACAATATAGTGTAATTCCAACAACTGTTTGGTAGTTTGTTATTCACAAAATCTGATGCAAACAGCCATTGGGTGCGATCTAAACAAATACACTGTAGCTAGGTTATATTGCATCATTCTACATCTGTTGGTATGACATTAAACAACAGCTTCTATAACGGTTGGTACAATCCACAATGTTTAATTCAATTAACACACATCCGGGGAAATGTCAATTGTCATGGAATAACATAAACTTTAAAGAGTTAAAAAGGACAAAAAATTAAACAAACAGGCACGCAAAAACAAAGAAACAAAGGAAAAGCAAGCCAAAAACATCTCTTTAATTACCTGGTAGTGGCCTATCAAGTCTCGCAGCTGCTTTAACCTATCCCTTACATCTTGTAGCTTTCTGTTTAAATTAAGATGACCGGAAACATACATGTTATTCAACCATGCTTGGAACATTGTACAGATACTGACATACGGTATGTATGCATGTTGTTAATGTTTGGAAGGTATGTACATAATTTTTTATCTGCTCATGAACACTTAATGTTTTTTACAGAATGGACCTTTGAGAACATAATCATTGGCACAGTGAAACTACAACCTGCTGTAGACAATGAAACATAAACATCCTGACAGTTTCAAACAAGGAATAATTTATTTGACTACTTGCAAGTTACATTAATTTACCAAAGTCCCTAATGGCAAGCATTACATTTTTAGCATCAATGTTCATGTACAGCGAATCTCATTCTTACTGAAGTTTTTCGTGAACTTCTAAAGCCTCCAGAATACGCTCGTCATCCAGTTTTTGTGAAGTTGTGGCCAGTGGCTCATCTTCTTCTTGTTTAGACACATTTACACTTGAACTAGTACCACCTGCAGCTTCCAGAGATTCTTAAGTGAGATAACCAAAGAACTATAGTTAATTCAAACATTGCAATTCCAAGTAATATCAATAAGAAACATACACAGTAGCTCCACTTTACAAAATATTGATGCTACCCTAAGGCTGAGTTAATGCTGATACAGACGATAATTTGTTTCTGCATCAGATGGAAAAATAACCAAGTTAAAATGTTCCTAATAGGGCTGGTTTGTTGCTTCTGTACCTTGACTGCTATAAGCTACTGCTATAATAATATGTTTGCCAGAAGCAAAGAAACCTCAAGGTAAATTGAAAATACAAAAGTACCTTTTCTTAGTTGTGCCTCTTTAAGTGACTGCAACTCTCTTAACAAGGTGTCCATCTGCTCTTTTTTTGCTTCTAAAACCATTAATTTATTCTCAAGCTCTAGTCTCTCTTGTGTGGCATTAGCAAGAGCCAAGGCTGCCTCCTAAAAGGACAATCAAGATTATTTGAAAAAGGGCACAAGCTTACAACTTAAAGCTGACAACCAACTACAGTTCTTGTGCAGGACAAACGTTTACAGTGTTTTAACTTTATATATGTGGGTGTTGATACATTTAGCACAGTCTCAGTTGTTTTAATCTCCCTTTTTTAAGTCTAAAAATTAATATTATCACAAAAAAAAAACATTTAATTACATAAAAAAAATAACACTTGACAATAAAAAAGGTTGGGGTATCAAACCTCGTTATCTGCAGCCTCTGCGCTTACTTCAGGATGGATTGCCTAAGAGACAAAAGAAGGTATGCATTTTCGTTAATTTTAGTCCCAGTTAAACTAACATACAGAGCCTATGCATGTTTAGTCTGTGTAACGAACATTTTTACTCAAGCTACTGTAAGAACGTTTGAGTGACCAAAAGAAAAAAAATAATAACAAGGGAGCGGGGAGGGGAACAGGAAAACCTACAATTCTGCAAAAATCAATTACCTGTGAACACAGCTTCTGAACGGCATAGTGTGGCAGTGTTGATTGAAAAGCAATCAATGCATAAATTAAGCCACGTATGTTTGAAGGAAGTACAGGTGGCTACCAGAGAAACATTTTCATTGGAGTTTTATAGTCAAGTTTACATAAATTTTTGCATTTTCTGTGGCCTGTTATTTTGATTTGGGTATGGTTTGAAACACCTTGTTCGGCAAAAAGTTTTCCATGACTGATGATGTGACAAGTGTTAGTGGGGACATGGATCTACGATCATGGCAGTTACAGGTAGCTGAAGTATGAATGGGTTAAGCAATGAGAATAATGAGAACCTAGATAAAAAATAATAACAACTGGAAGATACATGTATTCAGCAGAAAAATACTAATTGAGGACACTGTTTTTACATCTCCTACTGGAGATGAGACCAAGTCCCATCAAGAGAAACACCAAACTTCCACTTGCTATTCATGACAACCAGGAAGTCAGGATTTTCTCCCCTAAGTTTGCTATCATTACTTGAACTGCTGCACCATGGTTTGTCCTCTTTGTCCTTTGGTTCTCTCTTTCATCCCTTTCCTTTTCGTCTGCAGAATCAGCAGCTCTCCACTAAGAAAACAAACAATGTAGGAGAGGTAAAGGCAAACATCCAGGTCTGAATTTCAGTCACTATGAGACAAAAATAATAACCTGCGAAGACTGTTTCCCAAATCAGTAATCTGCCCAAGCAAAAATGCTAAATCCTTTCAAAAAGCTATACCTCATTTGGGGAAAAAAATAACTTCAAGCAGTCGCAAAAATGGCATTCAGTTTACATGGATTTTATGCTGCACTAGTACTGCCCCTCGTAACTAAAAAAAGGGATGTCTTTGATAAGGTGATCCACATTCTTTTAGCATTAGTTTTACCCTACTTGTACATAATATTACATTTTGTACACGTATTTGTAATGCAGTTAACTTGCAATTGTTAATTAAGACAATAAAGCAAGACAAGTTATTTACTGTATCTATTACAAGTACAATCTGACAACAAATTGCAGTTCAAAGGCTACACAAGATACTAAATGTGTGCTAAAATGCCAGGGGAAAGCTTTACCCTCTCTTTATGCTTTCGAAGAAGATTCATAAGCTCCAGCTCTTCAGGTGTAAACCTACTGTCATCTAAGCCACTTACACTTGGTCTCTACAAAAGTCAGACAAGAGAATCAATATCAGTTAACATTGTGTCCTACCACCTTGTCACAGTTGCAATAAACATCACCAAATTAAACAACACCAATTTTAGGGAGATTCTATACTTCTTCCCCTGTTAATAAGGAAAACCAGTATTTTTTTTTAATTTGAAAATCAACCCTTAAGATGTCAAATCTGGCCAATAACCATAACAAGGTAAGTTCATCACACTGTGCCCAAAGTGCGCAGCAGGCAATGAAAAGGAAAAATTTTACTTCATTAATTTGGGCAACGAAACTTTATGAGACATGTGAAATACACTGTCTTGATAATCCAGGAACAGCTGGACTTTGTACACAAAATCTGCTCTTTTAAGCATGATCCCAGGCAGACACTTTTCGTGCCCTAAAAGTCAAAAGTGTCCACCTATGGTTCAAGATTTCATCGTACAGTGCACATGATTTGTGTACTACAAGTAGAAAATCATGAATAACTTTTGACAGAAACAAAAGCTACTGCTATAACTATTTATTTTATGTTAAGCACGATAGAAATTTTTTTTGGCACTGTTACTCCAAGTTGGATGGTGTATGCTGGGATAACTTAATGCCACATCAGTCAGTATAAAATACCTCCAGTGTTCTTTGAGATGCAGATGCCTCTTGCTGAGAAGCTTGAGAAGGCGCAGCCACTCTTCTGCTGTTACCTATTCCAGCATCGTCACCACCTACTGCTCCAACTTCATCAGAGATTTGCCGGCCCTTGGAAGAAAACAATCTTTAATGCTGTATCCCAGTGCTTTACCTACCTCTAATCCCTTTGACAATGTTGGGAGTGCAAATTTTCATGTACGTAAGTAGGTGATACAAAATGTACATTGGTATGGTGTGTTCAAACTGGAGATAGTAATTTTATTCTTTCCTTTTAAACCTTGCACTTGGTTTCAACTTTGATTATAGCAGAAAAACAAAGTCAAGTAAGATACCCAACTTGCATGTCAATCGTCTCACATAATGTTGCTAAAGGTACAGAAAAACGGGCGACAAAAAACGTGCCACTTGTCTTGCAACATTGCTGCAAAACAAGTTGAATAGCGATGCTGCGCATTTTACCACCCATGTTCAAACCTGTTAACAACCTGATTTGTTGCCAGACAGGTTTGATGTGGGTGGTGAAACACACAACACTGCTATTCAACTCATTTTGAAGCAATGTTGCAAGACAAGTCGTAGCCTGCGTAGCATGGCGGTTTTGGTTGGGCGCGCTAAGTAATAAAGTCGGGCGAGGGCAGAGAAACCGCGAGGAGATTGGGGCGGAAGCAACTTGAAAAACCGCCTGCACGGACGGGGGGCTTTTTTGAGTCGGTCCGCACGCCAGCGTACGGATCGTTCCGATTGGTTCGGAATGTTCGCCTGTCAATCAAATATTTTGGTAATCTCCCATGGGAGAGTTTCGAGGGACTGAACAAATCATCTCCGCAAAACAAAATCAAAATATCAAAGAAGCGTTGACCGGAGCGTCGCCGATCTTGAATATTTGACGGGAAAATAGGGCAATTGTATTGAAGCCTAAACAGGAAATGGCCATTTACAGTCTTCTTCAAAGGAGAGATGTCATGGAAATTTTGTCAACAAGATTTGGCAAGAGCATGATCTTTACTGTCTTTGCTATGGCCAAAGAAGAAATAATAATCCTCATCGAAAACCTGTATGATCACAATTTCCCCTCTAAAAAGTACTACCGAGGACCAGATATCTGAAATGGTGTCGCTGAGATGTAAAGCAATGGACCTTATGACAGAAACAGTAAATTTCAGTGCTTCGAGAAAGTTCACCTCAATTTTCTCTATTACTCGGTGTTAGAGAATAACGCACTCCAGCGCAATACATCGAACGGCGTCCGCGATTGTCGTCGATGAATCGCATATGGTAGAAGACGCACAGCGTAATTCTCCATACTTTTTTGCTTGGTGTAGCTTAAGCTACAACTCAAATCTGAAGATCGCGCTATACGTAAAAATACAACATCCTGCAAACAACAGTTAAAAAGCCGGGCCCAGCGTCAAAACATTCACGGACAAAGCAGTGACAAAGAAACTACAAACCAAGGCTCCTTGGTTTGTAGTTGTCCAGATCCAGGCATTTTAGTCGGAAAAGACCAAAGAAACTAAAATATTTATTTAGCCGTAATAAAAAGCTTTAGGCTTTAAGAGTGGTCAAAGAAATTAGTACTTTACAACTGCATCTGAGATCAACAAATTCTAATTAGCGAAAATAACATTAACCACAGGAAATAATTACTCAATACGGGTTAAACAAACCAACTCCATGACCTCTAAATAAATGTAAGACTTAGTGCAGCAAAAATAAGATCTACTCAGTCAAGTTTAGAACGCAGTGTAGTCACCTATGTGCGAGATAGCCACAAAGAAAAAACCCGTGTTTGTTCAAGCAAACTCCAATTCCGGCCAAGGTCACGTTTTACACTATATCACGAGCTTTTGTGTCGTGTTTAGGCTGTCAACACTTTATTTCTAATTGGCTGGGAAAACTGAAACCAAACAAGTTGTCAACAGGATGTCAAAATGAGTTGAAGGGGGCGGCAGTTGAAAAGGCCACGAATCCGGGCAGGCGGTTTTTATTTTTCTCGCGGCTTCGCCGCTCGTTCTCGCGCGCTTCGCACGCGAATTTCGCGGCTACGCCGCTCCTCCGCCCGGCTCAACAAAACCGCCATGCTACGCAGGCTAGACAAGTCGCACATTTTTTGTTGCCCGTTTTTCCGTACCTTAACGCTGTTTAGAAATATTTTAAATAATGTATCTGGTAATAATTTCTATTTACTACAAAGAATGAATGCAAATTATCGTAGCACTGCTCTTGCAATAGTGGATGATGACATTATCATTATTAAGCTGTTATTAACACTAAAACCTGCAACACACCAAAATCTGTAATGACTTACCTCTTCTTCAGCTTCTGCCAAACGCATTTCTGCATCACGCTGAAGGGTTAAAAGGGTGGCCTGGCGGTTCTGAAGCTCCTTTAGCTATCAAAACAGATATAAAAGATAATGGTTCTTTGATCAGACAGTAGAATCTCAAGTTCTTTTAATGGGTGCACAACTTGCCCCCCAACAGACAATCGTCTGTAAATTTGAGAGACTTTGCAGAGCTATATCTTTGCTTGTTTGAGACATATCACTTTCAAACTTGGTAAGCTTACTAATATTAAGACCTTCTTTCAAGTGGTGTCGACAGGGTTTTTTGTCACTTGTCCATGTCAAAAGTTGAAGAAACTGTAGAAGGGTCTATTAATGACATCTTTATTAGAAACAACAAATGGCATGTTAATGGTCTGTAATACAACAATGTACCTGCTGTTGCTGTTCAAGCATTTTCTTTAGCAGTGCATGTTGTTGTCTAAGTCCTTGAAGCTCTTCATCTCGTATTGATGCTGATTCACTCTGCTTAAAAATATGTACACACAAAAGGAAAATTGTCAATTACCCCATGCACATGTATAGAATTAGTAGCTATGCAATGTATGGCATTTCTTACATGTGTGCATGCTGATGAAAAGCAAAAGAAAAAGTCAATTTAATAAATCTACAAAATTGTAACGTCTCATCACATGTCACATTTACATGTACATGTATATGTATAAATACCACAGCTCTCAGAATTATACAGCTGTATACTTTGCAGTTTAGAGCATAACGTAAAATAAAAAAAATTAAGTAAAAGTCAAGACAAAGGAAGTAGTAGTTTACGATAATGACAGTTCTGTATTAATGGATGGCTACAATGGTTTGTATCTGTCTTCAATCACCCACAGTTCTACTGTGTTTACCTTTTCCTCTTCTGTTAAAGACTGCTGACTCACAGATGGCGTGTTTTCCAATGTAGAATCATGTTCCACTGCCTAAAAAAAAACTTAACATGTGAACATTTCTTTGCATTTCTTCCCTTTAGCCATCCTTTATATAACTAAATCAAGGTTTTCATCTCGATCAGTCAATAAAATAATTATGAGGACATCTAGAATAATAAATTATTATAATTCAGGGCTATCAAAAAGTTTTAAGTAGCAAGCTGATAATGAATAGTAGACAGCCTTGGAACTCACACCAAAGGCACAAGTTCTGGAGGGTGGAGGCATCTAGGAACATTTTGAAATTTAGAGTCTTGAAAATCGCATTTCCAGGGGTTTTCAATAGGTATTTTCCACTGTGTATGCCATGCTGTTCCGTCAGAATACATGCAAGAAGGGGAACATTATGCCGTTGAAATGTCCCAGGCATTCCACGACATAAGGATGGGTAACTAGCCGACGGTTTTGGCCAGCGACGGGCCCTAATTATTGATAGCCCTGTGATTAAGAGCCATACCTTCAATTAAAATAACATACTTTATTATATAAACACCAATGAAATACCAGGTGAGCTGTCGCACGAAAACATGATATCTTCAAACATGAAAATAACATGTTATTTTCACATGTGAAAATATCGCCGTTGCTATGGCTACATGATAAATCGCACCTTTCACAGGATAAAACTGTTTCTGTGAAACGGTTTGGTATTCAATTGGTGTTTATATAATAAATAGAACATTACATTGCCGCTTGGAGATACAAAATTTCTCTTCATGTGTTGAAAATATTTCACTCGTTTGCTGCGCTCACTCATGAAATACTTTTCAACACTCGAAGATAAATTTTGTATCTCCGCACGGCCATATAATATCCTCTATGTAATTGATACATATAATCTTACACTATGTGTATTACAACAGAGGTCTACTCACCAGTGATCGCTCAAGCAGTTCAACATAAGCTCTCTCTTGCTGTTTCAACTGTCTGATAAGCTTTGCAATCTTAGTCGTCTGCTCACTCAGTTCACTACTCTGTACAGACTTTAAACAAATACGGTTCATAGTGAGGAAAATTACTATATTCTTCAAATATCAACAGTTTACAAAGAAAGTTCAACAAAGCATTTTGGTGAATGCTTTTTTCTTCAACGATGTCACCAAAGCCTTGTTTCAAAGATGAGCCTGCAAAATGATTTCTACATCATGTAGATTGGGAGAAAGGTTTATGTAGTTGCCTGGTTGCAGCTGATTGCAAGTTATCACTGATACGTTATTCTTTACAAAGTGAAGATTACTTGCCAGGAGCCAACATACAATGAACAGTATTTACGTATGTAACATTACTTTTGTCATTGGCAGAAATCACTTAGTAAAAATAAATACACAACAATACAAATACATAAAATATAATTAACAATGACAATGATTATTGCACACTAAAGGACAAAATATCTTAATAGCTAGTAGTTTACCTGTTGGTCACCAACACTTTTACTTTGCAAAGTGACAAACATAGCTGTTGCTTGTCTAAGAAAGTCCTTAAACCAAAAAAAGAGATAAGGACATTATTTTTTTAACTTGTTTCCTTCCATTTTGGTACATTGAAATAAAACAAAACTTAAAACATTTCAGTTTTCTTGCAAAGCACACTAAATGTAAATCATAGCCACACATAATATTTTAATCTTACAGGTTTTAATCATTTATAATATTAGATTATTTTAAAACAGAGAAACAGACCACATGTACATCAAATAATAGAAAAAAATCTAGGACCTTCCCAACCCAACATCAGGAAGCTTATTATTCCCCATAATGTTCCCCATAAATACAGTTCCAGTACTTCTAAAGGATTCAGTATTGTCCAAAGTAAGTTGACAGTCTGTTAAAAGTCTCAAATCCCAATTCATTCTTGATTCTAAATTTCTGCGAGAATTGATTTTCAAGAATTGAGAAACAGTCACCGATGAGAATTGAGCTTTGAAAGAGAGAAAACAAAAGATTAACCCCTTGACTAACTTCCAAAACAGGGTACTAAAATGGCGAGGTTTCTGGCTACCCCACAAGTGAGTGCTACAGCACTCTCTTTTGCCTGCGAATGTCATGCAACAGATACCTGCCCACAAATTGACCCAGCCGCCAAATTATGACATGGGAATGGCTTAGGACATTATATGAAATCTTACATGAGGTACATACTATCAAAATTCGCTTTCATCATTGTAATGACAAAATAATCTTTGCCAGTTACTGAATAAGGGCCCAGAAACCAAACAATGCATAAAAAAGTTCGAATTTTGAGAAAAAATATGGGCTAAATTTCAAACTAAAGCACAGAAAAACTCAAAAGTACATTAATTTTTCAATCAAGGGTCAAGAATCAAGTACTAGGAATCATGAAGCATTTGGCAAGAATTACATCCAGAGTTCAGTCTTACAAGAGAGAAAGCAAAAGATTCAGCATTGACTAAATTTTTGACATCTTACATTGGCATCAAGAGAAAATTCTACTTGTAAAAATTAATCTATTTAGCAGTGCACACTTACCCTGACTTGATTTAACCTTGATATTATTAAGGATGTGTTGACCTTCAAGAAAAAATTAATGACAAAAATGTTACATGTAACTGCATATTCGCCTATAAAAATTAATAATAATATAAAGGTGTGCATGTACGTGTAATTCTTGTAGTATTTACCACAAATGTGATTCATGGTTTTAAAGGGCAAAGGGCATTAAGACTAGTTTGATGTTTAATCTTTTTCAAGACTGTTGAAACTGCAAAGGGTTTGAAAGAATAATGTTTATATCCTCATACAGAAGAACCACAGAGAAGTGTACATAGAGAGATGCTCAAGGAGGATGCTTGTAGCATGGTCAATAGCCATTTTTCATGTAACAAAACACACGTATTATGGGCCTACATATATATTTCAAAAATTATACCAGATTGCAAATATTGTGCATGAAATTATTGCATTATGCAAAGTGCAACCGGGGAGATGCAAAGTGCAACCAGGGAGATGCAAAGTGAAAGAAAGGTCACCTTGGAGACAGAGCTGACAGCACCCTCTGTGGAAGGCCTTGCTGTTTCAGTCTCATTCATTTCCAATACAGGCAGACTAGCAGATGCAGGTGCTCTTGACTGCGTGGCTAGGGGTCTCTCATTATTTGCAGTACTTGAGGGTGGATTCTGAGGTCTGGTGGCCCTGGATTTGGGACTTTGCTGAACAGGCTACAGTTACAGAGAATAAAAAAAATAATTTAAAATTATACAAGAACGACAAAACTTTCATTCTGGGAGCTGTGGCAGACTGTAATCTTGAATACTTTTTAATGACCTGTGTGGAAAATGCTTTGTATATGCATGTTGCCACTGGCTTGCCTAAAAAATGAAATTTACTTGCCCACTGGGCAAGTGGATTTCAATCTTTTTCCTGCCCTGTTTCCAGTACATGTATATCATATCGTACAATGGAACCTCACCTTTGGGACATCCCAAATAACTGACAAAACTCACTTTCATTAATGTACTACACTTGTGTGAATTCAACATATCATGTTGCAGAGATAAGTTATGATAATTTTTTTTAATGTTGTCTTTGTTGGTTCATGATCAACAAACTTCCTGCCCAACCTCTATTCTGAGGACACCCAACAAACTTGTTTCAGTTCTGAGGGTAATACATGTACATGTAACTGAATAGAGGCTCCACTGAACTAAAGCACTGCAACATTTAATAACTCTTTCTTTTTAATCTAGCTTTTTGAGAATCAGCAAGTTCTCATTAAGCCTCGACCCTCAGCCATGCAATAGAGAGGTTAAGTATCATGTTTATGTTAAACCTGAATTTGTACCACATGGCCAAGTTTCCCTTTCACTTGTTGTTTACCGTTCATGATTCCTACACATAAATTAGTAGTCACGCAATTAATTTTTCTATCCATAAGAATTGTTTTGAGCTGTTCTAATCTGCTCATTTCCTATTTTGAGAAATTCTCTTGACTTCAATATGACATCTGCCTTTTCCCGTGAAGCTTAAACTCTCTAATGACATACACTCCCCCCAGCAACACAAATTGGCGGGTTGTGTGCATAAGACAAACCTCATCCCCTGCTGGTACACTTGAAAGTGCTTTTTCTATTCACCCATCAATGCTTCCAGTTTAGCCATTTAATGATCTTACTCCACAATTTAACAATCTTGCTCCACTGTTTAACGTCCTAGAACATGTACACGTACATGCAGGACATTCAATTTTGTTTTTCTTCCTTTCATTAACATTTTTAAGCTTTCTATTTTTGGACTAAATCATTGCCCAACAATTTACACATTTCAGTTAGCAATTCAATAGGCAAAGCAGTAAAGAGCGTTAAAATACTAACCATTTACATGTACAACCAATACAGTTTACTTAATTACTTCTTTAACAGTAATTTGAAGTGCTATTGTACATATCGAGTGCATGGTGACATGTATAACATTCACACCCCATAACTGTCAAGTAAGGTTATTACAAGCTCACCGCATAGAGGACATGGATGTACTGACCTCACTGTCATCGTAAGACAGCTGTTGCCTCAAACTTTCCATTGCCATTCTCTCAGCAATGGGAGTACCCGGTGGCAGACGTCTTCTTGGAATAGTAGCGGGTGTATGATGCCGTTTCCTAGTAAACGGAGCAGCACCACCTGAAGTAGGTGAGCTAAGGCTTTGCTTTGGTGGCAGTTTCACTTGTTCAAAGTGTTTGCCTTTCTTTTTGGCCGCATCTGCCTTGCTGGATGGTGACTCAGCAGTTGTTCTAGATGACCAGCCCTACCAATTCAGCAAAAAATATGGACACATGTAACATTATTACTTTAATAATACTACAATGCATCTTACATCTGCCTAAGTTGTAGGTCTGTGTTAAGGCAAGATCTTTGATGTACACATGTGACACTAACATGGTTAATTTTTAATTGCTATAAGACTGGCAAAGACCAATCAAAATTTCAAAAAATAATGTTTATTTTAGTAACAGACCTCTTACACTATTATAAGATTAGTTTGTTTGTTTTATAATTGCAGACCAAGACAGTGATGTTGCATCTTACATGTAAGATTATTTTTTGTACATATGTATGGACATGAAAACTGTGCTGCAACTTACACGTACACTTTGAATCATGAAAAAAAAATTATTTTCACCAGGCATAAAAATAAAGTTGGTCATCTGTAAAAAAGGACACCTTGGGAGTCTGGGTGACATTAAAGAAATGATTTGCAATAATCAACTAAAATGATGCCAAACTCAGAAGCAAGGCTGCCACTAACATTTCAAGTTGCCGAGTATATGCAAGTACATGTAAGCAGTAAATTTGAAAGCAAGACAATTCTTTATTTTCTGTAGTTTCCTTTTATTACAGCTGTACATGTATCTCACAAAGTAGCCAGGGATCATGCTCGTAGTAGCAGAGGGGAAATACCGGTACCTGGCCTCTGGCCCTTGATCACAGCCCTGCTTAAGGCTTAAATACCCAAACAAACAAAATGAACAAAAAAATTACCAGGTTATTTGGCAGGGATCTTTGCCCAGTCTGCTCTTCAGATCGGCGCAACTCAGCAGCCAAACTTAAATCCGTGTCCAGACTGGCAGGGTACTGTCTGGCAGACCATCTCTGAGACCTTGGTTCTGAGAATGGGCCCCTTAATGGCTGTAATGGCCTACTTGTATCTTCTGGTGGGGTTCTTCCAGCCATTCATAAAAGTGACGCTGCGTACAGTACCTAGAAGCAACAAAATTATTATAATTAGAATGAAAATTGACTTTACATGTAGCTCACTTTTACCAAGTACATATAGGAAAACCAGTAGGCCAGGGAGAGCAAAAATACTGGACAACATTATAAGTCCTAAACTTCCCTTATTTCCAATAAAACAAACCTGTATTAAGCAGACACTAGTGTCCAATTTGTATCTGCTAAATATACAGTTCACTGTTCATTTTGTATTTCAAATTATCTAGTTTTAATGTTAAAATATGAATCACATCTATGAAACCCTTAACTTTGAGAGTCGTCACAAGTATGCGGGATGCAGAGTTGTCACAAGGTTATGATGTCACTGTAGGTGGCTTTATTATTGAAGTAGGTGGCTGATTTTTCCATCCTTTACTAGGGTATCAGAGGAATAGCCCAAGCGACTTTTGAGAAACCTGAAAATAGTGGAACCCCTACATACAACAACCCCATTAATATGATTACTTTATTCTGGCCTGAACAGTCCAGTCATTTTCTTACTCGACAGCACTGCCTGCATCACAGACATAACCTAACCCTGGTTAGTACATGTAATGTCTGCAAATCAGTGCTGGTATCCTTGCTTGGGGCCCTTAACAGCCTCAACAAATTTTTGTATTTCCCTTCAACCTGACTGGCAAACCAACAATGGCATTTTTAACAGGCCAATCATGGTGCAGACTCAAATCCTGGTACACAGCTGGGGCCCAGAACAAGGATTTTGGTGCTGTTCTGTAGATGGACTTAATCAGAAGTTTACTTCCATCTGTTGCGCAGGGTGCAAAGAAAGTCATTTTTAAAGCTTGCCATTCAGGCAAGCTGAAGCTAGCATACACTAGGCCAAATGCCATTTCAACTAGCCCCAAAAACATTTTGATGAGAAGCATTTCACAGTTCTTCTGTAATTTGAATTACTGTAAAAACTTCACTTCAGTCTAACAACCCATGACACTTCATTATAAGTCATTAAAAGAGAGCAACTGAGTGTAGGAGAATGGGGTGGCTTGATTTAAGTAGGGATTTTTTCGGGTATTCAAAACAATCTGAAGATTCGTGGTGGTGCCTGCATATTTCAGCCACATAGTTCTGTGAATAAGGAGTACCACCAAACTTGTGTTGTGGCTGTTTTACTATTTAACATTTTCTGAAAACTTTTAAGGTTTTGGGGGGATTAATTTTTATTCCAGGGATTTTTTCGTTTTTTTTTTGTTGTTGTTGTAATTTTGACTTTCAGCTCAATTTCCCCGCAAAAATTTTGATACGAAAACAGTTATTTTGTTGTAAAGTTAGTGTTACCTGTGTTACCTAAAGGATATACAGTCAATTTTTCTCATTTGTACTTTATGTTTATTGCAAAAATTGTTTCTTAGAGACTTTTTTAGTAAGTGTTTATAGTTGCAGCTAGAGTTTACCCTTAAAGAATTTACTCTAATATTAACCCATTCGCTCCTGGAGATTTTGCCGAAAAACGCGTTTTGAAGCTAGTCGAGTGGTTTTCTGGTCACTGTCGTGCTATAAAGAGCTAAAACTTACCACAAACCGGTTTACAGGTCGTACACTTGGCGGCCTTCTGATCCAGATGCAAAATATCAGCTTGCGAAGTTCGGGCATGCGCAGAAAGCAAAATTTCGACATAGTTTTTGGGTTTAAAAGTGACACAGCAGTCTTGACTTTTACTTTTCGTTTTCTCTCCTCCCTTCTTTTTTCACTTTTCTTGCCTCATTTTTTTTTTCTCTTGCTGGGCATTTAGTAGGCTTCATTTTGGTGGGAAGAGTTTTTAGGAAAGCTTTTAGGATCTTAGGATTAGGTGAAAGGAAAGGTAGGTGGGTAATGGAACAAGATTTTCATGAGGATTTTCAGGTCCTTGTCACGTGGTTTTTTGCTTCTTTCTCCGGTGTCCTTGACTGAATTGTGCTCATTCTGGTATGGTTTGAAAGAGCTCTTCACTCTGCACAAGTTAGCGAAGAAAGTTGTCCTTGACCGTTAAAACTGATGACGTCACAAAGGGTAGAAAGGACCTGGATCCGCACGGGCGGTTACGGGCAGTTCAGGGGCAAATGGGTTAATAGACTTTCAAAAAAGTAATTTGTCGGATTTAATAAGGCGTGGGATGAAGGACTTTTCATACTTGATTGACGCGAGTTTTAGCGACTCAAAAACGGGTCGCTGCGCTTAGACCAATCAAAATGGCTCTTAGGGACCCTTGGGGATAAAGCTGTCAAACTGTGTGGAAATGTTTTCTCTTTTGATTATGATATAACAGAAATGGTAAACGTTGCAGCTGTGCAACCATCGAGTTATGGATGCACTTGGAAGGTTTGTTAAGCACTCAAGAAGCTAGAGATGCACTCGACTATGACCTTGTGGAACTCTTACGCTTCTTTCATGCTTAGCAACCTCCCACATGCATCCATAACTTGATGGTTGCACGCTACACATTTACTATTTCTTAAACTACTGGATTTCCATGGCCCAGAAGTGGTCATATTTAGGAAGTTCCAGTGTATCTACATAAAAATATAATATTGACATATGTCTGCAGGAATATCAGAATACTGCCCAACTGGTATAATATCTAAACTAGAATAAAAGGGCAACATGGTTTTACAATCAAGGAGGAATGAGATACTGTGGGCATTAAAAAAATAAGAGTTTGCATAACGTTATTTTCCCTGATGTAAAGCTTAATCTCTAGTTTTTGACATTTGGTTCGGTCAGATTTTAATAAGAAGAAGCCAGAGTAGAGCCGCGCTTAATGTATCAAGGCAGAGGCAAAAAAAAAACAAACATGATTGCATGATTGCAAATGAAATAAAATTACCTCTTTGGGACTGCAACAGTGAACGTGAGCAGAGCAAACAAATGTTTTCTAGCCCGTAAACGGGTTTGTGGTCGAGATAGAGGGAAGTGGACGCTTGCTGTACGTATACTTCCTTAATTTCAACGTTTTGTCCGCTGAAATTGGATAATATGGAAAGAGAGACAAGGAAAGCTTGAGAAAATTGATCAAACAAAATTATCTTTTCAGGTTATTGCTTTAGCGACCTAATTGATACCCATAAGCAGCAGGATTATAACTTGTGTTTACGAGTGCTTGGAAACTGGAAGCGTTTACCTTTCCGATTGACAAAACGGTGCATTTGTTCAAAGTTTATACAAAAAAATAATTGCTCTCACCTGCGAAGTTGTCCAGTAACTTTTAAATTCTTGTCCTTTAGGTTTTTCACCGATATTCAAGCCATAATCTGTCAAAATTTTGCAAATTGAACTTGAAGTTTGCACAAATTTCTCTACGCGCCACAAGGTTCTTACCAGCGCAGGCCATTGGCGGAAAAATGAGAGCGCAATGGACCGTGGGATTGATTAAGAAAATAATCCTTGAAAGATCCCACAATGCTTCGAAACCCAAATTTCCCTTTCAGAGCAACCAGAGAGGAAAACTTTCTAGTATTTTTGACTTTAAAAAAAAACTTCAGATGAGCGCTAGATAACATAAAATTTACTTCGTGAACTATAATGTTATTTTGACAATTCTACTTTTGCAATTTTATCGTAATGATTGCCTTGCAAGATGAATAGAAGAATAATACATTTAGTTCTGCCATTGAACAACATCTTATTACCGGTAAAACTTAAACATGTAAATAAAAAACACGAAATATGTTTGCAAGAAAAGCAAAACTCATAACCCCAGTTTAAGGAAGTCGAGAAGAAACTGGAGACAAATCTTCGAATTGTAAGTCCTTCCCAAGCTTCCGCAATTGATGTTACGCCTGGTAGAAATCAGCAATGGTGAGGTGGTAAACAATCTTCCCCTTGATGACTTGGGTTTTAAATCGACCGATTGCTTGATCCTGCCAAATAACGATGCTGGGAAATTATTACTTTGCAATCGTAGGTCACTACGATAATCCAGTCTTCGAAATGGAGTTCAATCCGCCCATGAAAACTATGGATTCGTCACAAAGTCGCGACCAAAGCTACAAGGTACGTTTAAGACTTGGCAATCGAAAATCAATTTCAACTAATTTCTTACACACCCACTTACTTACCACCCTAGCGGTTTAGCGTGATAATAAAGGGTACTTCTAGACAAGACACTCACACTTTCTTTCTCTGTGTAAGCTTAGATAATAATAATAATACATAGATGGAACTATTTATTTGGTTTATATAGAATTGGTATTAAAAATCCTGTTTCTTTTCCTTAGTATAAAAATTGATGAATATCCTTTTTAAAAAATCTTCAGAGAGATGACCACAGACACCTTAATCAATTTATTGCACATGCTGCTCTAGATCTTGTTGATGAAACCATGTGGACAACAACTGGCATGTAAGTTTGATTTCTTATGGTCATAGCCTGAGAAAACAGCCAACATTTCACGACGCCACCTCTGGTTTGCCCACGAAATGACGTCTGAGAAACAAGCGCAGAAATTCCATACTGATGACGCATTTCTCCCCAGATATGGGTAGTGCTTCTGATTGGTTGTGCAGCGTGTGAAATTTGCTTTAACCAATCAGACGCACTTCCCAGATTTGAGTAGTGACATGTCATCAGTATGGAATTTCTGTGCTGTTTCTCAGACGTCATTTTGTGGGGGAACCAAGGGTGGCATGGTAAAATGTCACTGTTTTCTCAGGCTATTATGGCCAAAGCTTGACCATGCTAGCTTGTGCACATTAAAATTAATATGGCTCTGTTGTGCTCAAAACATGATTTTTTTTTTATTTCAAGCATGCAGGAAGGAAACACTTTGCTGATTAACATCAGATGTTAGGATGGGAAATCAATAGTTTTTTGACAAAGTACTATTGCAAAAGTTTCTCGGACATGATAAGTTTTGTTTTCTTGAGTTGTTTTCCTCTAACTTTCCATCATCACAGCTCTGGTTCTTACAAGACTGACCCAACCACACTGTTTACAGTGTATTTTGATGTGCAAAATTTAAAAAAACCTCTTGAAAACCCCTTCAAATCTTTGGAAGAAAAGGAGGGGTACCAGTGTTCTCCCCAAATTTGAGCTCAGCAGGTAAGGGAGCATTCATGGCCCTTAGGCAATGAAAATGCCCCAGAGGTGCACTTTCCTGGGGAGGGAGGGGGGTAATGGAGTGAGAGACTTGGTCCCAACCCTAGGAGGAGCTAAGTTCTTTGAAATGTCATTCCCTCATTTTAAGACCTCTTTTATGCAAATCAGCCATTGTTATCTTTAGACAACAATTTAAAACATTTCATCCCAATAATTTTACTCTGTTTTCAATGTTGTCTTTCCAAAATATGGGCCCATATTAGAAAAGCTGTGTATACTTCAGTACTTTTCCATATATTCATTCATTTCCTTGACTGGATCAGATCACAACTTGCATATCTTTTAAAAACTACTTATTTAATTTTAGTAAGCCTTCAAGCAGTTGTAGGTGGTAAGAAGTGATGCTCCAGATGGTAAATTGTACCTGTTACTGCCTGATAAGGAGAACACTGGGGTAGGGATAAAGAAAAACTCACATTCTTGATGATCTGGTAGTCATTTTCCTTAAATTCTTAGTTGCCAGGCCAAAATAACTACATGGCCTTTGACATCCTGTGTAATATCCCAAAATTGTTGTTGAACTGATGAGACATTTTAAATTGGAGCTATAGAACCCCGGGTGAGTCTTAAAGGGACTTTAAAAACAACAACAAAATTACATTCAGTGTGGATTGCGTTTCCTCACCTCCAACCAAATTTCACTAACAGAAATGCCTGCTCTGTTTTAACAGGTATCTAAAACATGTTGACAAGTTCAATGAGTGGTTTGTCTCTGCTTTTGTTACAGCCTCAGATATCCTTTTTCAAATACTATTAATGCTTTTTTGTGACTATTGTTTGTTGAAATTGCATTGAGTGGTATTTTCTTAACTGAATTCAAGAAAGAGATTTGTGATGCTACATGATGCTAGAAATGATGATGGGATTAAAAATTTCTTTACTGATGTTTATGAGACATATATCAAGGTAAAAATCAAGAGCAATGTCATTTTTAAGCTAGGGTCAATTCATCTTCCCTTTGTACAAGTGTAGTTATTGCTCTCAAACTCTTGAACGTACCCTGTCCAGCGGCGCATCCCCGTATAGGCCATACAAGGGACTACCTCCCCCCCTGGGGTCAAGGGTGGTTTCCGCAATGATGAGAGATGTCAGCACTTTGTTCTCACCGCTGTAGTTCATTCTAAATGTATCTGAATTGATGAAATAAAGTCAAGTTGAATTGATTCCTAATAGGATCTTTATCTCGATCATTTAAACTCCTTAAGTCTTTGATAAAATGGACATCGTGTTATCTTCTGCCAGAAACTATTCTGATGCTGTAGTTTTTTTACATGATGGCTCACCCATTTGGTTTCTCTACTCCAACGCAGTTTGTTTCTGTTTATATTGCAGGTTTTAATGAATCCATTTTATGATATGAACAGCAAGATTGAGTCTCCAAACTTTGAAAGAAAAGTCCTCGTGGCAGCAAAGAAGCATCTCTCTGCTTAATACTTTCAGAAGTAGTTTTTGGACTCTCCTTCTTTTCTGAGAACACTGTACAGATATGTCATCATGTAAAAATAAATCCTAAGTTGTGTCTTTAAAAGTGGTGTTTCTACATCCCGGCTATAGCGGCGCCTTGTCAAAATCGAGAAGCGGGTCTTAGTAGTCTACTTAGCAGTTTGGTCCCGTTTATGTGAACAAATTATTGGGCTTACAGTGTGTATGTAAGGCTTGCGTGAGCGCTGCTGGCTCGGGCAAAGGGGTCACCTTTTTTCGCATATACACGCATGGTGCTTAAGTTGGCCCGCATGTTGGGGTCTTTCCGGGACATGTAGGCTGATTTAGCAACAGAACGGGAACGTCTGTTGACGATGAGAAAGCGCGCGGAGAGGACTAAACGCGACTTCCAGTGCCCAATTGCCGCTCTGCCATTGGTCAAGCCAGTTGTTTGATTTGCGCGTTCCGTCGTCAACAGACGTTCCCGTTCTGTTGCTAAATCAGCCTACATGTCCCGAAAAGACCCCAACATGCGGGCCAACTTAAGCACCATGCGTGTATATGCGAAAAAAGGTGACCCCTTTGCCCGAGCCAGCAGCGCTCACGCAAGCCTTACATACACACTGTTTCCAGGTAGCCATTACGGCACCTGAGGTTATGGTTTGTATCCCTGTATTAAGATCTCTCCTTACAGATAACCCACCCAGCCCAGAAAAGGTTGGCCACACCACCGGGGTCTACGTCCCCTACTCTTTTTGAACATCGCTGTGGGTTCTTTTTCGTCCCACAAGAACCAGATAAGTGAAAGTGCTGTGAGACGGAACCTATGGTTTTTCGTCCTTATCCGAGAAGACTAGAAAGTCTAACCGTTTGCAGATGTCATAAGACAAAGGCAGCACTTTCTTTTCAGGTATTTAATAGACTGCAAAACAGTCCGTATTTTTGCGTATTCAAGTACGCGCGAGCAGTCAAACAAAAGGTCTGGAGAGGCTCGCGCGCTTCGCGCGCGTAAGACTCTTACGCCACGCCTTACCGATTTCTTTACTGATTTTGAGAAAAAGACCGACTGTTTTGCAGTCTAGGTATTTAAAGACCCTGAGTGTTGGTCCGGCGGGGGTTTGAACCCGCGACATTCCGCTCAGTAGACTGGCACTCTCCCAACTGAACTAACCAGACGGGGGTTAAAACGCCTTGACCGAGTTGACCAGGCCGGGCAAGCAGGGATAAGTGTTTGTATTGGGAAAAGTTGGCCTGGCCAGGAGGGTGACCTTACCATCGAAAAAGGGCAGGTCACCCTTCTAGCCCAGCCAACTATTTTGTTTCTCATGTAACCGTTCGCCACATTTTGTAAGGAAATATGTACCTCACCCTTCTTGCCGAGCCAGTCTAAGCGGTTCGCCATGTGTTTCGGGTAAACAAGTGACCTTTCTATCCTCAAGAATTCTTCTCCATACAAACAGGGGCTTTAGTGCCCCCGGAGCTAGCCTGCGTGGCAGACGTCGAAAGACAAGGGGAAGAAGAGGGAAAAGGGGAGAGGGGCTTCCACGTCTAAGTAACGTTATGACATTTCGCAGGTTTGCAACAAAGGCGCCAAAAGCGATAGGTTTAACGAAATTAAAGGGCCGTCCTTTTTTCCCCTTCTCCAGTCCCCTGTTCGTCTACACCGTAGTGTTACCCGGCGATTTCTATTGCGCTTTTCGGCCCATTATTTGCCGTTTTCTTCTTGCACCAAGGAGCCTGATTCCAGTCTAGTCGAAAGAAAATTCCTACGTGGGGGTGTAATTCGAAATTTTGTGCTGATATATATATATATATATATATATACTTGTATTCTGGGTAGAACGTATTCCGTAGAGCGCTCAATTCATTTAATTGAAGAGCATTGACTATTAATAATCACAGGAGTTCAGGCTTCAGGAGTAATCATTGATCGTTTATTGCGACAGTGCTGTTTCGTATGGTCCGAAATTGTAGGACCACACTCATCAGGCAACTTCAACGATTGACCGTTAAAATTAAAAGCTGGCAGTAAATATAGGGATGCGTTAAGAGATAGTATCTAGGTAACAGATGGATTGTGTCTTAGTTACGTTACTCTAGAGTTCTGAAGTACATATCTGTTTCTGTGGGGGCATGAACTCGCTAGTTCGTTTCGCCTGTTTAGGCTACAAAGCTCTTTTTTACAAATGATGATAAACTTGTCTTTATGAAAAGTTAAATTATTCTTCGACAGTCGAGGAAAATTCAGCAAGGGATATTCTAAATCGGGCAAATATGTTCTCTTTGTCAGGAACCCTCCGCTTTTTTCGATCACTAGTCATGTAGGGGAAGTAGTAGACTATTTACGTTACAGCCCTAAAAATCATCGGGCGGGAGAGGTTTATAGCAACAGATTAGAAACCAAGATGACCACCGGCCTGTACCGGTTAGCACTCGACATCAACGATCTTACGGGGAAGCAGGGGACTTAACTGAGCTGTATAATATATGTGCGGGTAAAACCTCCCAGATGATCGCAAACGGTTCTGCACGACTGCAAACTGGCATCCAACAAAATAGAAAAATCCGTCTCGCTAACCCTCGTATATAATCAATCGCGATCGTATATCATGGATTAAAAAAGTGCATGTTTTTCGGTAATTTATTTAAGTCAGGTATTTCATAACACTGCCTGAAATAGAGTTTAAAAGTGTGACCCCATAAAAATTAAATTTCTGAAACTATATGGGTCGACCCAAAACAAATTTAGGAGGGTTTGTATGGAGTTATCAGAGCATAAATGGGCTAATATCTCAGAGACAATTTACCCCGAAATGCTCATTTTTGGCAAGAGTAGGCCTCTTGGACTTTGTTCTTTCAGAATATCCTGGCAAATCCCATAGTTTCAGAAATTTAATTTTATGACGTCATCACTTAAGTACTCTCTATCAATAAAGTCTTTTGTTCTCAAAACTTAAGGTGGCTTGGTGGGGTGTTTTAGGATCAATACTTCCGATCCCATGTTTGAATGAGCGTTAGCTACGTCGCAGTTACCAAAGATTTGGAAAAAATTGCTACCACAGCTTTATTAGATAAAGAAGAAAATTTGTTATGATCAGATCAGATTTTGGGATGTAGTTTTTATGGTTGGAAATTCAGTATAAAACTGGACAATCTGGATGTTGGGCCGTTATCTTTAGAAAACGAAGCGCTTTTGAAAAGCAATTTTCCTCATAGTTGTTTCCTTCACTTTAAAAACGTCTTGTGAAAAGATCATGGGGATAGCTTTTACCTTTAGCCGATCGCAAGAAAGAGGGATTTGATTGCCTTGCATTGCGATTCTCTTGTTGGCGTTTTTGTAAATATTTTGTTCTACTTCACCAAATGAGCGAATAACTTTGAAACCGCTTGATAATTTTTGTTTTGAAAAATTAGTGATTCTCGAGATTAACCGTCATTCAGTATACGACCTCTGAGTTTCAACATTATGGATCAGATAACTTGTTAGGCAATAAAATAAGGGCTACTATTGGCAATTTTTTTGTCAGAAATTTCGTGTTAACAAGTGAGAGCCTCTCATTATTCAGGAGTATCGTTTCCTAGTTTCATATTTTTGTGGACAACAATAGCTGACATTTCTGCATATTTTAAATGCATTCTTAGTTACTGCTTCATTCCAAAGTATCTCCATAACGTTCCCACAGATTTGGCTTAAACTTCGTGAGCATCGAGGCAGCTACTGGAGGCAAAACGATCTTGTGAACGATTTTGGAGAAAAAAAAAATGCCCAGTACCAAGAAATACGGCTGCTAGTGCAGTAAGTAATGGCGTCATTTCGTTGCTATGACAATTCGATAAAATTGCAACCTTGATCATAACAAATTTTCATCTATATCTAAAACAACTGTGGTGGTAATTTTTCCAAATCTTTGTTAATGGAGACGTAGGCAAACTTAGGAGGTATTGACCCAGAAAAAAACTCCATCAAGCCACCTTAATAGTGTACAATTTAAATTTTGCTGCAAATTATCAGGTCTTGCTGCGAGTGTAATTCAGTCTTTAGTGTAATGGGCATAATCACTCCTTGATTTATTCATCGAAATTTATAACCAATAAATTAGGTAACAAGAAACGTTCGATGTGAATAAACACGTATACCCCACGAAGGCGTTTTTTGGGAGTCGTATTTCCAATTAACGGTAGACTTAAAAGTAGTGCTGAAAAAAAATATGTTTAACCGAGTGCGTGAAGCAAGATCCCATCACACTATCTAATATGAGAATTTATAGAAGAATTTTTTGCATTAGTTTTAGAATGAATTTTTTTACGGTAAAAATCTGTTGTAGAAAACGGGATGTAAGATGATTTATTGGGAAACTGATTAATCAAAGCAACTTGCTTATAGTTATTACATAGCAACTTACTAGCATGATCTTTCTAACGTATCCATTAGCAACAGGCAAAGGAGCGAAACCTACTCTACAGGATTTAGAATACGTGATTTCGCCAACATTTTCTGCACTAACAACAATAAAAACCAATGGCTTTTCAAGCGACTTTCTGGACCATGAGTTTCCTTTTACCCCCCCCCTTTTTTTTTTTTTTTTTTGGCCTCTCATTTCACAACGATTTGAAGGTGAAAAAATTCAAAGGTTTGGCATACTCGTAGCCTCCCCCGCAGGCGTTTTTGTGGGAGCTCGTATTTCTTCCCTGAGAACGCCCGCGGTGGAGGCTAGCATACTCGGGGACATACTGGATTGGCTACGGAAATTGTCCTTTCCATGAATATATATTATGCAGTGGAACCTCGATATAACGAACCTCTATATAACGAAGTACTCGGTATGATGAACATTTTTTTACCCAAAGAATAGTAAAATATATCGAAAAGAACCTCGATATAAGGAAACCTCGTTAGAGCGAACATATTTTGCCATTGGCCTTTCGTTGTATCAAAGTTCCTCTGTACCGTGAACGCTATTGACAGGAAAAGTGATTGACCTAGTGGCGTTTCTCTTTATTTGTCTGAGCAACATGCTTCGATAAAACCAAGGAATCGAAGAAAAAAAAAAGACACTTTCCAATTTCTTTAGTATTTTGCACTTATTACAGTATTGCGCGACCTC